ACGTTGCATTTAAGGTGTCAAAGAATGAATCATATTTTCCTCAAATTTCATCAGCGACATCAGCTATTGTGATGTAACTAGACCTACAAAAAGGGGGGAGGTGCTTATATCAAATCAAACATTGATTTCAAATCGATTCCCAACTTGATGGTTCAGCAAAATTGCGATATCTCTATATCCTTCTTAATATTACGATTTTATCAAGCCATATTATTATTGAACTTAAATGACATTTAGAGGCTCCACGTTTTAACAGTCCTTTCTTTGCCGCTAAAGAGTTTTCACAATTGCTAAAGCCCTTTTTCTCAAATTCGTCACTTAGATTACATAAATATTTCCTACAATGACGAATGAAAATTTAACTAACATATTTTTTTTTAAATTTGGGAATCGGAAAATTTTCTGAAGGTCATTTCTGGGAGATAAATTAGAAGACCAAGCTTAGAGGCCAAAATCTCCCCGTGGCTATGACCCTGTGAAGATTCGCTTAATAAATTCATTTTTTCAAATGCCCACTATCGGTTTAAGAAATAATAATTATAATAATTTTACACGTGTAACCATTGATTTGCATCGAAACACATTTAAATGCATTAAGCGACAGTTTTATTACAATGTCATTGGCTTGAATTGACCTCTTATTTAAATTATCACAATCCCCCCCCCACCACTTTCATCATAGTATTAGTGTTAAGTCGGCCAAATTCGTGAATGAATGGGCCGGACCGAGCCCGGACGAATTCAGTTTAGGAGCAGTACCGAATAAAATTGTATTTGCAAATCTTAAAATATTTATTTATTTAATTTTATTTTATTTATATTTTTTGTAAAAAAGTATAAAAATATAGTGTATTTTTTTTATAATAAATAAAAGAAATTAATTGAATAATTTATATTATTTTATTTTTTTTAAAAAACGAACAAAAAAAATTTTTTTTTATTGATTTATCAAGGAGTTCTTCCATATTAGGAGGAACGCTTATGTGATAAAGATTTGAGAAATTATGTTTAAAAAAATATTTACATCAAATAAAACGTGAATACAGAATGAATAAAAATTTATAATTTTTAATAACCACTGCCCAGTGGTGGCACTGGATATTTCTTCTTGAAATTTTTGAATTTTTTTTTACAAAATTATCACTTAGCAGAATAGGGAAATTACTAGCAAAATCTATCTAAATTTAGCGGAAAAAAGGTATCAATGTTTATGTTTTGTGGAGTGGAGTGGATAAGGGGGGGGGGATGATTGAGCTCACGGTCTTTTGTAAATAAGCACGGCCGCCATATTCTAAACCCTATACTATGCTATACCATAATATACTTTGCTATATTACATATATTATATTATTATATCGTAATGTCCTTCAATTTTAGTGTCCTGAATATGAGTCTAATTTAAACTTTTACCCAATTTTCCGCAAAATATTTGAGGCCTTAAGGCCCGTTTTGACACCTACACCTCTATTAAAATAACTAGATTTTTCGAATTTTAATTTAATATATTTCGAAAATATTTTTATCTCTTTTGCAGGCTTCTACACTCCCCAAGTTAATTGAGATATTACCCCCCACCCCCACTCCCTCCAAAATTTTTTATATTTTTTTACGTCCCCCCTACCTTTTTCTATAAAATTAAAAAATTATTTGACCCCCACCCCCCCCCCCTTTCCACTCTACTCTCCAGTTTTATTCAATCAAAATTTCTTTCTTTCTTTCCTTCCTTTCTTCCTTTCTTTCTTTCTTTCTTTCTTTCTTTCTTTCTTTCTTTCTTTCTTTCTTTCTTTCTTTCTTTCTTTCTTTCTTTCTTTCTTTCTTTCTTTCTTTCTTTCTTTCTTTCTTTCTTTCTTTCTTTCTTTCTTTCTTTCTTTCTTTCTTTCTTAGCATCTTCATAACTACCTACCCTTTCTCCAATGATTCTCTTCGCTTAATACTTATCTCCCCTTTGCCCTCTTGTTATTTTTATTAAAGATTTTAAATAAATTCTTGACATTTGTGAGTTCGATAACAACTAGTTAATTGTGTACTTAGTCTCCAGAGATATTTTTTTTTTATGAGTACAGAGGATTCCAATACAAAATCTTCCCAAAAATTAAAATCCATAATAAAAATAATAAATAAATATTGTTTTCCTCATCCCTATTAATAAAATTACTTAAACTCCGATATTTTCCCAACAACCCGATAACCAAATTTAGACTTTTTTTTTCGTAGCCTATTAAAAATATAAATGAAACGTATACGATCAAAAAATATCTAATTTCCTTTCCTTGTATCAAGTAAATTAATGTTTAAAAACATCATAAAAAAACATGGATTTAAAAGAAGAAGAGAAATAAAACCTCTAAACTATAAAAAACATTCATAAAATGAAAAAAAAAACACCATACATCTAAAAAAAACAGAATTCACCATTTGATACCAATGTATCAATAATTTATCCTGATAGTAATTATTTAAATCCTTCACAACAAATGGAAATGATTTATATATATATTTTTTTTTAAAAAAATTGCATAATCTCTATAATAATATTATCATTTCAGTGAAATTACACACAAAAAAAAATTAAAAATCAACAAACTGGTTAAGGCATTTTTTTTGGCTTGGAAGATATTTTATAACGTGTTAACCTGTAATGAGTATGAGGAAATAATAAGGAAATATATTATCTCCCTTTTCTCACATTCCTCCCTCTTCCACCCGTTCCCCATTCCCTTTTCCATTACCATGTTGGTTATGGGGTGGGGGGGGAGGGGGTGCAAGATTTCATCTGGAAAATTTTGGGGAAAAAAAATCATATTTTTATTTTTTTAAAAAAATAATATTTTCATTACCAAATCCCCAAAAATATACGATATATAAATATATATATAAAATGTGTTTAACCTTTCAAAATATCACCACAAACTCATGTTAAAATTATTGATTCTCGGAAGAAAATAAACATGTTTACTTATAAACTATTTTTTTTTTAAACTTGAAAGAAAAGGATAAAATTGTTTAGAAGAAAATATTGGGATAAATCCGGGTAAGCCCAAATTTTAGTGAATTTTATTATTTTTTTCTCCCCACAAATTTTGTCACAAAATAATTAAAAAATAGAAGAAGATTTCAAGGATTATTGAGTAAAAGTATTTTGATGGAACAAACTTAAAACAATGTCAATACCATATGTTATTCATTTTCATTAGAGATTTTGTTTTTTTTTTGTTTAGAGACAAATAATTTTAGTATTTTCTTTGCGAATATTTTATAAAGGGCATTAAGAAAACAAAACAATTTTTTTTTTAAATTTTGCCTCAAGTCCGCGATTTTTCTTTTAATATCAAGTTCTTCCTTCCTTTCTATCTTTCAGCTCGATTATGTCCGGGAGGATAATCCAATCCCACAAATTCTGGTTAGGTACTGGTTATGTTATTGTCATTTTATTTGGTACTTATTAACACAGCGTAAAAGAATTATTGCCGAGGTAACTCTGAATGCAGGGTTATGAAAGAAATGGGAGGGGTAGATAAGATACTCTTTGTGTCTCTTCATAACATCACTTATTAAATTAATTTCTTTTCCCTAAAGCAGTTTTATAATCTAGGATTTGTATCGATATTTTTTGGATCGATTGAGGGATACTAAGGCTCTTAAAAATACATGCCTAACAATTGTTTATTATATGTAAAGATGGCACAAAGGTTTGGATACCTATAAACCGAGGCTTAAGTAATACCAATATCTGTTAACCAACTCTCGAGACTTAGGTAATATTTTTCTAATATTGAGTTAGCCGTTTTTAAAAATCGGCTCAAATTTAAAAACACTTTACAAAACGTGCGAACTTTTACATGAATTCCACCAAAAACCATATATATTTTTTTTTTAATATTTCTATTATTATATTTTTTTTAAAGGATTAATGTGCCTGCATCCTTGATGTTATGCTTCTTGATTGAAAAACATTTTAAGCAAAAATTTATTTATACTTAATTTAATTAAATTTTTTAAAGAAGAAGAAGGAAAAAAATTAGCCGAAAATTCAAAAAATTTCAATTTTTAAACTTTTTTAAAATTATAAAATAGTACATATTTTCGTTGTGCATTTAAAAAAATATATTGATTAAATTTGAATAGATTCAGCTGCTGCAAATTTTTTTTTTTATTATTATTTCATTCTTTATGGAATGGAAGAGATTAACAAAATTTCGCAAAAGTACTTTTTTCTAAAATTCAGCTTAACAAAAAATTAAAACATTAATCCATCCATTTCTTCTAATTATTTTATTTATATTTGTTTTGTTTTAAAATCGATTTTGGAAAGGCTAAAATTATTTCTTTCCGCATTAAAAAAAATAAAAGAAAGAAGTTTCCTATTAATTATCATTGCATAATAAAAAATAATAAGTTATCTTCTATAAAATTAAAAATTACTTCATATATTTTCATAAACATATGCTATATTATTTAATATAATTGTTCATCCAATGATATACATTTTTTTTAAATCAATAACCAATCAATAATAATATATTATTAGCATTAAATTAAATGATTGCTTTATAAAATTTCATTTTTTTTAAAAAAAAAAATATTTGTTTCTTTTTCGAATACTATCACTCTTTTTAAATAAATCCAATTCTAAAGGTTGTCTAGAGCAATAAAAAGGTAAAAAAATATATAATTAATAATTTATTTTCCTCTAATTTTGTTGCGAATTTCGAGATATTTAAATTTCGGCCTTTCTCAACAAGTCCCGACCTTAAGCCATAAACGGAAAAATTAGGATTACACAATTTGACAAATTTTTTTTTAAATTTAAATATTTAATGAGATTTTTTTTTTTAAAAAAAATTAAATTTAAATAAAATATGAAAATAATATTTTTTTTTATTATACGTCATATCATACATATTATGTTGATTTTATAAATTATTTTTATTTTTTTTAAATTTTTTTAGTATATAAATATCGATGTACATCTTCGAAATTTGTTCAGAAATATCTTTTTATTTTTCCCTTTTATTATAATTCAAATCATCCTTTAACTTTTAAGTTTTTTTTGTAAATAAACCATTAATTAAATATTAAAAGAACTCTGAATTAATATCTATATTTTTGCTCGGTGCTCGATTATCTAGAAAGTTCTAAATCAATTTGAACCTAAACTTAAAACCCCGATTCAAGTATATAGTATTCAATTTTCTCTGGATTTTTTTTTCTACTTGTAGTTTAGTAAGTTCTACCATTATATAATTATAATTAGATAATACATTTTTTTTAAGAGTATGTTTTTTATAAAGAAAAGATATTTTTGAAGAAATTTTACCTATTTTTTTTAAAAAAAAAATCTTTTTATAAGTAAATGTTTTTGATAAAATTTTTATTTTCATGGAATTAAGAAAATTATTTCTATATTTAAAATCAAAATGATTTAAAAATGAAAGAATTTCTCATCGCGATTTTAATTATGCCTTTTCTTTCGATTATTTTTAAAAATAGTGTTTAACTTTTTAAGTTTTATAAAACACTGCAATTTCATTAATTATTTTTAGTCGGTTTATATATATGATATAATAAAAAAAAATTTAATGTATACACAAGTATCTAGGAAAATTTCCATTTTATTAAAGTTTTTTTTAATGTATTTAACGTCGGTTTTATAAATGTGCAGTGGCGTAGGCTAGGGGGTGGGTAGGTTTTAGGGGTTCAACCCCCTACCCCACCTCGTATGAATTAACTTATTTTTATGTTTTTAATTTACAAATATTTGACTATTTTTATCATTTTAAATAAATATCTTAATTTGTCATCTACTTTTATTCCTATTTCATCATGTTAAGCACAGATATACAAGTCTATCTGATTACCTTTTTAAGCCGCTATTAAATATAAAAGTGTCAAAAGCTATAACCACATCAAGTCTCATTTTTAAAAGATGTTATGATTTTTTATAATGATAATAAGAGTAAAACTTGATATTTCGTTTATTTAATTTCTTTTGTGCTTCTAGCATCTTCGTTCTATCTTATTTAATGAGATTTAAATTAATGTATATATATATATATTAAAAAACTGAAAAGATCTTAGAATCATAAGATTGAAATTGGGGAAAGAAAAACCTCCATGTATTCAGACGAAATTGATTTTTGGATCATGATCAAAAAATTAAATATTTAAATCGAACCTAAGACGTGACATAATTTTTATTTCGCATTTATTGGCTAAAAAGTGATTACTAATAATGCATTACAATGCTTCTATAATTTTCCTTCTAGTATGATGCCAATCTTGGTAATATGTTTTTCTCAAACTACCACCAAACGGGTTGAAAGCCCTTCCGAGATAATTCTTCCAGATGTTTGGCTAGCTTTATGCTTAAGATGTGATATCATAGTTAGTTTTTGGTTCATAATTCTGTTACTTTTTTTAGTCACTAAATATTAACGCAAACCATATAGTTAAAATTTCTATAATCTGGGTTCTGGCATGATGCTAATTTTGACTATATCTGAACCAACTATTAGACAGAATAAAGCTTAATAAACTAATAAAGCTACTTAATGGTTTAGTATAAGTTTGAGAAATAGCGTTTCCAAAAGCTTGGTTCATTTTACGCTTAAAAAATGACGTTTTCATTTTTCCTTTTATACTGGATATTTTATTGGTTAATGTCAGATACTAATAAGGTACAAAACATTGTCATATTTTTAGAATTAGGGCCTTGTTCAGCGAATTTTAACCGATATTATATAAAGACCAACAAAAAATTAATAATATATATGATTTTTTTATAGGAAGGCCGGGTAAAAAGGGATTTGGGTGCGATGCCCCCAGAAGAATTTTTAACCCCTCCCCCGCCATTGGAAAATCCTGGCTTTGCCAATGTGTGCAATTTTTTGTTTTCATTTTCAAGTCTTCTGATTTGACACCGCCCGTTATATAATTACTATTTGGTTTTATGAGAAAAATATAATCCTACCTAACGTTTAACTCGTTAACAAATATTATGCTTTATTTTTTTGTAAATTATATTTAAATGGCAAGAATTATTATTTTTTTTAAAAAAATAAATCTATATCCACCATTTATTAGAGGCTGTCTGGGTCGTCAGACCTCGGGTAAACATTCTCGGTCTCGGTTTCGGTTAGACTGTTTTAAAATGGATTTCGGGCCGGATTCGGATGAATAAGAAATAGGATTGGAACCTAATTCTAAAAATAAATTTCTGGTAAGGGACTCGAACCTTTGAAAAATAATTCGGATTAGATCTGACAAAATTTTTCAAAATTTTTTTTTCTCTGATCGGGTGATCTTACTCTCTTCTTTTCATTTTCTTATATTTTCATTTTCTTATAATTCCATTTTCTTTTCTTTCTTTTTTTCAATTCTTTATTTTTTTCAATTCTTTATTTTTTCTTCCATAAAATACTTTGTATTTTATAAAAAAAAAAAATTATTTTATTTGTAATTTCATTTCAAATTCTTCGTAGTTTTAATTGAAAATGAATCAAGTTGAATTGGCATCTCTACTATTAGGCACTTTAGGAATATATTACAAAAAAAATATATTCTAGATATAGTCGCGATTTGCAATTTACTCCTTCCTTTCCCAGTCACTCATTCTCCTTAAAGAAATTATTACTAAATTTAACGTGAATACACCCTAAATTGACTAATTATTTTTCCAAAATTACGAATTACATATTCATGCTGCTGGGTGTTAAAACTTTTTAACGATTCGCGAATATAACTCTGTGAATATGTCGTATTTTGCTCTGAACTTTTGAATTCCTCTAATTTTATATTAATTTTTTCTATTTGTTTGCTATCAAGATTGGTTTTTTTTTAAGATTCTTAAAAATGGTGAAATCAAGATTATTAACAAAAAAAACGTATACTACCTTTTCTTCGAGATTTCTCATATAGATACCAGAACGATTCTGCTTTTTTTAAATTTTTTGAACTAAAAGACAACTACACTACATGGACGAATGCCTTTATGTTTAATGACATTTTTATCCTCTTAGAAATTGTATGAACATTTTGATGTCATTTGCCAACATACCCATTCGAATGCCGCCTTGAAAGCCGGGCAAATTTTTAAAAAAAATATCGGCCCAGGTAATTCGTACATAGTCGGGATCAGGCCTCTCAAATCTCTAATTTTTCGCAAAATTTTAATAGGAACAAACCTGGACATTAAAATCTTTATATATTTTTTTTGCATTATGATTAATACTGAAAATAAATTACGACATTCCTATTTCTTTATATTTTAGGTAAGGTGATTAACTAAAATACTAAATTCATAAATAAAATAAATTAATCGCAACATCAAAACTCCCATTGATTTATAAAAGGGTGGGTAAAAAGCCATAGATTAGGATAAAGCAGGGTTTAACAAAAATCTTTCGAATGACCGTTTTAAAATTTTTTTGGCCCAAAATTTTGAGCAAAAAATCTTTGAACATCAAAATAATTGAAGGGTGGTCTGTCTTTTCATTGTCAAAAAATATTTTTAATTTTGCTCAAAAATATTGTTTGAGTATGATCAAAATTTTTTTTTTTAACTCTTTTTGATCTTCAAAAAAGAATATTGATCTTCAAAAAAGAATATTGATCTTTTGAATTTCTGAAATTTGAGCAAATGTTAAACCCTAAGTCTAAAGTGCCCCAGCAAACATTTAAATAAAGGGGTCTGGCTTTGCAGATTTGTTCAGTTATGGGCATTCTGTTTCCACCTTTTTCTTCTTTTTAAAAGTCAGAGGTTTAGTTATTTTTTTATATATAAGCATTACACATGATTCACGATTATAAATGTCCTAATAATTTTTATTATCTTGTTTTCGATTATAAATTTTTTTTATTCTAAGTTTCTTTTTAAATATATATGTTAATATTTTAGATTCAAATATGTCAGCTATTATCAAAAGAACATTCATGACTAAAGACATAGGGCCTAGCTCTGGCTTAGATGTTTGGTCTCCTGAATTCAGTCGTCTACAAGTATAATTTTTTTTAAAAATATATATTATTTCCCTTCTTCTTCGTTCTTTCTATGCTTTTCTCATCCCCTCCTTTGCCTTTTCTTTCAGGAGGTTTATCACAAAAAACATAAATGTTAAATAAATATTTCCCTAGTTTTTAAGTAACTTATTCCTAATATCTTCATCTAATTCAGGACAATTCGTTTCGAAAACATCTCTTCCTATAAAACCAATATTGTGCACACAATTGTAATAAGAGTATTTCCTTTTTTAACCTTAGTAGAGATGTCCGTGAGATCCGCCACTTTTAGTTTTCATTAATTTTTCTTTTCGATATTTCGAATAATCATGATTCAGAATTTACCCCACTCCACTGATTTCTAAAGGATCCAGGTGGGCAGTTAGCTTACTACAAAAGGGTTTAGCCAGATTCTTATCCTAAAATATAATGTTTAGATCTTTAAACTTGAGAAACCATTTATAAGAAACTTGAGAAAATTTTATGAACTAAAAGCTGAGCTAATAAGCCATGAAGTTGGCATAAAAAAGGTAGGGTGATTTAAAAATAATTAATTATTAAATACTTATGATAATCAAAAAACAAAATTATAGGACAAAATTCGTTTATTGGAAGAAGATTTGGACGGTGAAAGGGAGCTCAGGGCCAGAGTAAAATTTTATTTACTTACTTTTTGCCTCTTTATTTTATATTTCTATCTTAAAAACCAATAAAATGAGGAAAGATCGCTTGAAATAGGAAAATGTAATTTACAAAATGATATTGTGTGACGTATATATATTATCTTGATTATTCTTTCTTTTTTTTAAATATATATTATGAGAAGTTATTTATGGATGTTTCTTGATTAATTATTTTTAAATGTGGGATAATGCCAAAATCAAAATAGGGAATATGGAATTAAAGTTTGAAATTGGGTTGGCCATTAGAATGGATATTTATTTTTTTTCTAAAGGATTTTAGGAATAAATATTTTCTTAATTATTAAAAAGAATTAATAAATGATACAGTTAAACCGATTTCGCAACGAAGTATGTAAAAATATACAAAAATACAGCTTATATTTTATATATTTCGCTACGAATTCGTGCTAAATGTGAATGTAAGAGTAAAGCTGCGTCCTAATTGGAGCGTTCGGATTAAGCGTTTCCACATGTTAATTTAAACAATTGGCATTTAACTTGAGTCGCTCAAACACTCCAATCCCTACCCTAAATCCTTTTTTTTAATGCCAATAAAATAAAAACCGAAACATCTTACACGGCATTTAAAAAATATTCTAAAAAAAATAGCCAGTATTTGTCAAACTTTTGTAATTATTAATAAAGAATTAAGAAAAATTTATGATTTAATTTTCAATTTTCGCAGTTTTATAATATACTAAATTTTAATTTGATTGGGTAAGCCATTGGTATATACATTATTCTTGTATATTTTTATTTAAATGTAGATTGACAGGGACAGAAATGATCTGGGAGTACAATTGTTGGCTATCAATGATAGATTGGAGGATGCCGACAATATATCTCAACAACAGGTTCATAATATTTTTATCGAACTCACTTAATTTTGTTTCTATATAAATTCCAGATTTGTCATCTCATTCTTTCATCTTTTAACGAATTTTTCTTGTCAGGAAATTTTTTTTGACTACGATTATATAGAAACATTCTGACTACCTGTATTTAAATATAAAAATAAGAATATCCACTCTTAAAATAAAAAATACTTATAAAAAGCCATTTCATATTCTGGTTGGAGAATATCTAACTGGCATCCATTTTGTGTATTCCTCGTTTTTTAAATATTTGAAAAGTCTTGTTATAATATGAATGAATCTACAATTTAGTAAACCTCCATTATATTTTATATATTAAAAATATAGGCCGACGTGAATAGGAAAAGAGATCAAGAAATAGCTAAATTAAGAAAATTACTGGATGATTTACATTTAGAGCAAGAAGATTATGCGAATTCAATTAGGCAAAAGCACCAATCCCAGATAGCCGAACTTAATGAGATAATTGAACAGCTGCAAAAAGCTAAAAATAAGTTAATAATCACCCGCACATTTCAAATTTCGATTCTTTTTAAATGAAAGATATTTTTTTTTTATAAAGTTTGAAAAAAATTTAACATAAGGTTTCCTAATTTGGCAAATTTTGAAAACTTTCAAACTTAAACTTTTCAAACAAATTTTGTTTAAAAAAAAATCAATAATTCTCTACCCTATTTATATAGTGTTGTTAAACGACAACTCAATATTTTATCCAGAGGAATACTACGCAAGCCCGAAGATTCTCATAGAAGGAACATAGGTCTAGACATATATTAACGAAATCTCGAGGCTTGGTTAAAATATTGAGTTAGCCGGTTTAAAAATCGGTTCAAAATGAGCCGGTTAACAGCACTAGATGGTAGATGGCACAACGGTTTGGACATCTATTCGCGAAATCGCTAGGCTTAGACAATATTTTTCCCGGGTACAATAATGAGTTAGCCGTTTTTAAAAATTGGCTCAAATCGAGCCGTTTAAAACAAGACTATATTTATATTCGTTTTTATTTAATTTTTGTTTGTTTCTTTTCTAAAACTAGGATGGATAAAGACCGACAAAAGCTTCACATGGAACTCATAGATGCCACATCTCAACTCGACGCAGTTACCAAGGACAAAGTTAAAAATTCGTTTAATAGATAGCTATAATACTAATATATTATAATTCACTAAGAAATCGAGATTTTGAATTTAATCGAGTATTAGACATAAATGAGTATGAGCCATTTACACTTATTTCATCGTGAATGATCCTAGATTTGATATTTAAAAGGAAATATTAATATATAATGAGATTCCTAAATATTTAAATAAAGTTGGCCGCTGACAGAACCATTGACAAGCTTCAATCCCAAGTCAACGAGTTTAGTTTGAGGATTCAGGAACAAATAAAACTTCTCAATGAAGCTAATATAGTTCGGGATAGATTGAGTAAAGAAAACAACGATTTACTACAGGAATGCAAAGATGCCAATGCCGCGAAGGAACAAATCATTTTGCTTAAAAATGATATCCAAAGAGCTTTGGATGATACGAGACGATCTTTGGACGAAGAGCTAAGGGTATATTTTCCTTGAAATGAATGAATAAAACTAAAATTAGCATGAGAATAAATGAGCGAATACAAATATGAATCCTAATATATTGTGGGCATCTTCTTTCTAATATTAATAATTAAAAGTTATTTTCACATCCGTATAAATCGATAAATTATTAATTACGGATCGGGTTTTCAGACACCGGTCCTTAATTAGTTTTATCATGTCCAGTCCGTAAAATATATTTTATACAAGTAGTCTAACTTACATAAACTTTTCTAATTATTTAGCAACTTTTTTAAAAAAAAACAAATGGCTCTGCCCAAAAATATTTTGCTCAATTGTGCGCAATTGGCTATGGCCTACCTTTAATTATATCTTTTCAAGAAACAAATTAAACGAATAAAAAAAAAATTTCTACTTTTTTAGATAAAATAATGTGTGTGTATATATATAATCAATTTTACAGATCAAACAAACCCTCCAAACCAATTTACGTAGTTTAGAGAACGAAGTTGATCATTTGAGATTGCAAATTGAGGAAGAAACCGAATTGAAACTCGAAATAGAGAGGCAATTGGTTAAGGCCAATAACGACGCGGCAGCCTTTAAGAGCAAATACGATCAGGAAGTCATATTACATCACGAGGAAGTAGAGGAATATCGGTAAACAATAGTTATTAATGTTATTTCTTTCTTTCTTTCTTTCTTTCTTTCTTTCTTTCTTTCATTCATTTTCTAATAAAGAATGAGTTTGGTAAGTTTTTTTAAATTTATTTTAATTATCACTTATTTTTTAGAGTTAATTACCGTTATTTTATTGTTATAGGCGTAGACTAGCTCAGAAAATAGCCGAGTTCGAAGAACAGCTGTCTCAATTGCATTCCAGGTGCACAAATCTAGAAAAAGCAAAGACTAGACTTCAAAGCGAATTGGATGTCACACTTATTGATTTGGATAAAGTAATATTTTTTTTTTCTTCGCATATTTATTTAAGCATGATTTAACCAAAAATTATTATAATGAATAGTTTGATAATGAATCCATTGAACAGGCAACACATGGCAATCACTAATTACGCTACGCCTTTCCAACTTCAAATCTTTTCTATAGGATACTAGATAAGATAAATTTACGCCCCCCCCCGAGCTCGGAGACGGCTGCCTCTGATTGGTGGTTGTTATGTCATTGCGCTAATTTAGCTTGTCTTTGTTCAGGACCGTTCCTTAAATTTTATTACTAGTTCATTATTTTAAAGGCTAACATTAAATAATCCATACACACAAAATTTATTGTTAAGGCTAACCAAACAATATCCCTTTTGGAAAGCAAAGTTATAAGTTTAGAGAAGGGACTCGCTGAATACAAGATCAAGAACGAAGCACTACTTAGAGAATTGGATGAAGCACAAAAGCTATTAAGATCGGCTCAGTCCGAATTGGCCAAGGCGAGAACGGAAAATGAAAAATTAAACGAACGCAATAACGCCCTCATTAGGGAAAACAAAAAATTGAACGGTTTAATAGATTATTTTTTTTGTAATTTGTTTAAGCTTATTATTAAATTAATACAATATTAAGTTTTTCAAATTTTCTTAATATAAGAAATATGGTTTTATTCGATTATATTTAATGGTATCTGAATTAATTTTGAGCACTTAATAGATAACTTAGCTTCTTTGATATAAAGGTATCATTATTTAAGTTTTTTATTGTGTTTTTTTTTGAGATTATATAAGCCTTGAGATTTGACAAATAGAGGTTCAGACCTTTCTGCCATCTATGAGCATAATCTCCAATTCGGTTAACAATCACCCCAAATCGGACTTTTCATCAACACAATAGTGCCCACTTGTTTAATATTAATCTGATAATTGAGGCCGTCACGCCATCATATATACAAATTTGAAAACATTCCTTGAATTATAAAAGATAGCTCACTCCATCAGAACTATTTCAATAATTTTAAACCTTCCATAACCTTATTCATCGTTATTATTTATTCGGACAAATCTATATGTTACTTTATTTCGATGTCACATCGCCATTTTACGAACAGATGATATCGGTGAGCTCAAAGGAGCTCTAAGCGATGCCAACCGTCGTAACCACGAACTCGAAGTAGCGTTGAAGCGAATGGAAGACGAGCGAAATGAGTATGCCGCTCTATACAAGGATGCAGAGAACGGGCGACGCATAGAAGAAGCTCGCGCGAACAAGGCTATTTCCGATCTGGCGGCCGCTAAGCAAGAGTTTGAACGCAGATTACAAGAGAAGGAAGACGAACTTGAACATACCAGGTATGTTAATGCATATTTATTAAGTATCCTAAAAACTCTAGACTCATAATTCTCAACCAAAATGTAGATAGTGTTTTATTAAATTTTAGAACATGCAGGTTTAATTTCTTTTTTGATGAACCATAGCGAATCCAAAATAAACGGAGAGTTAGTGGTAGCTATTTTCTTCATATATATTTCAACGTGGTAGAGTTCTTATTAAGAGGGTAGTGAGTAAAAAACAATTTGGGATAGGAAATGGGGAAAAATCTAGATGTTAAATCATAGTCATGCAAGTTTTAAATAGATTTTTCGACATTTATTTATTTTAAAAGGAACATAATACATTGCGAATTATTAAAATTGTAGGAAAGCCATGCAAGCCGAAATTGATGCCTTGACAGCAAGGATTGCCGATGTAGAAGCTAAGATGAGGGCCGAAATCCAAAGAATCCGAAAGAAACTCGGAGCGGAAATTGCTGAGTTGGAATTATCCTTGGATCACGCTAATAAAACCAACATCGAAAACATGAAAACCATTAAGAAGTTGCAACAACAACTAATGGTAAGATTATTATTTTACAATTTAAATTTTTTAACTAATCATCTCTCCCAATTTTTGACTCTGTTTAATTATTCTACCAGAACGATTTATATTGATACCAATTTTTTTTAGCCAAGGTAGTTTTTTATTAAATAGGAAAAATTTTTATACGGAAAGTGTTTAAGGGTGTATGAACGAAATTACAAAATTTGTTACAATAATAAAAGAAAAATTCCTATAAAATATAAATAATTAATATAACCATAACAAAGGACGTGAAATCGCAGTTCGATGATGCACAGAGGCAATTGGCCAGCGCTTTGGATCAACTTTCAGTTTTCCAGAGGAAGGCCGCCGCCCTACAAGGAGAACTTGAAGAAGTCAGAAATGCCTTGGATCAAGTAATAAATTTTTTTTTTTTAAATAATGGAATTTTAAATGAAATTTTTTTGAACATTTTAATGGTACTAATAAAATTACTTAAACAATGAATGCAACATGATTATTTTTATATCTATTAATAAGGCTTTCAGAGCCAAAAAACAAGCTGAAGCAGAAGCGGAGGAAGCCACATCTCGTGCTAACGAGTTGGCGAGCGTTAACGCTTCTCTCACAAACATTAGAGCCAAGCTCGAGACTGATCTGGCCGGAGTTTCAGCAGAACTGGATGATACCCATAAAGTTATCCTTCATTCAAATCTTATTGATAATATATTGGAATATTACTGATGTTTTATTTGTAATTTTTTTAAAAAAAATTTTTCATCTGGAATCTACTTGGAGCGCCAATTAATCCCATCCAATCAAATTATTTTTAAAACTATATGAGGGGGGGGGACAGATAGAACTATATAATATAAAAAGGGGAAGAATTTTAAAATGACATGTTAAACATAGTCTGGCATAGATTCATTGATGGAGATAAAATTGGATCTGCCATTTCTCGAATGATACTCTTTGTCATAAGAAATAAATTTTCATTTGGGATCTGATATTTTACATTACATTATCACATTTTAAAAGGAATTGAAAATATACCAAGAGAGAGCGGCCAAATCTGCCGCGGATGCTCAGCGGTTTGAAGACGAATTACGACACGAACAAGAACAATCTATGAAGATTGATACCCTCAGGAAGGCCGCTGAACAACAGGTTATAATTAATATTAGGAAAATTTCCTTAGCCTAAAAGTAAAGTTATATATTTCTTTATTATCTTTTACCCACTATAGAAAAAAATAATAATATTAATAAGAGGGTTCTTAGGTGGAATAACTTATAAATAACTCCATATTTTTTTTAAAAAAAAAAGGTGAAAGAATTGCAAATCAGAATTCAAGAAGTAGAAGCTCAAGCTTTGATCACTGCCAAACGTATGGTGTCTAAATTGGAAGCTAGGGTGAAATAACCATTTAAATATATATATTCAGCATAAAAAAATTAAACTAGTCATTTTTGTTAAAATTATTGCTTATTTAACTAGCATTAAATTATTTTTCTTTTATGAAGTGTAGACATAGAAGTTATTAATACAAGTGCAATACAATATATAAACAACCAAAATATAGGTTAGGGACTTGGAAATCGTGTTTGAAAGCGAAAAGAAAGCTCATCAAGAAACACACAAGAACTTGAGGAAGAAGGATAGACGCGTCAAAGAATTGACCATCATGATGGAGGAAGAACATCAAAAATCGAACAATTTCATAGACACTATAAACCTGTTGAATGAACGCCTCAAAAAATACAAAGAACAAGTGGGAGATATAGTTAAGTTCTTTTCTTTCTCATTTATTTCCATTTTGATTTTCTTTATTCTTTTTTTAAATAAATTATTCTTTTTTTCAATACTTTATTTTTTATATTGCCCTATAATATCATATCAATTATGTTTTCTAAAGGAAACACTGGCCGTCCAACACTTAGCTAAATCCAGAAGGTTCCAGAAAGAACTTGAAGATCAAGAAGCGAGAGCTGAAATGGCCGAAAATAATTTGGTCAGACTTAGAGCTAAAAATAGAGGGAACGTTTTCATTGGCCCAGCCACTGGTCCAATCGTGAGTGGTCAATTAATACCCCAGGCTTTGCCTTATGTTAGAGTTAGTAATAGTCAATCACCTTACCAATAAATATATTTATTTTATTTTTTATACAAATACATTTTTCCGGATTTTTTTTTTAAAAAAAAAACTATATAATTAAATAAAAAAAAATCCGCAAACATTTATTCTTTAAATGGGCCATACATTATTTTCTAGCGCGATGCGGGGCGGATGTCGTGATAAAGGTTTCAAAAGTTTAGAAAAAAAATTTGTTTTTCTTTTATTTAAAATTATTTACACTATTTAGCTTTATTTTACAAATAAACGATCATGCGCATTTGGCAAATATATAAAAGTTTTAAATAATTCATTTCAAAATGTAAATTTGTTAGAAATGGATTCTTTTATATAAGTTTATTATTTATTATATAATATTGTAATTTATTATCACCACTTTGTCATTTCGCCTCCGTCTTTAATTAATAATTCATCATTTTATAATTTAAATTCTGGTTTTTTTTAAAAACCAATTTCATATATATTATATATTTTACACGACTATATTATTTGAATACGATATTTATTAGTTTGTTTTCTTTTTGTGTGTGCAAATTTTTTTTTTCTTCTTCATAGAACAAAAAAAAATTTATATATTATATATATATTATGCAGGCAATTTCAAAAATAAAGATAATTTTCCTAAAATAGCGTAGTTTTAATAGATAATTTTGATAAAAATAATTGTGAAATATGATCATTTATTTATATTTGTAAATGAATTCTTATATTCACACAAATATATATAAGTTTAATGAGTATTTAAAATTGGAAGGATTATCAATTGCATGTAAAACATATCAATTTCTACTAATAATTTGATAACTTTAATCTAAATTTGTTTAATGCATGCTTTGATTTTTTTTTCTTTTCCACTTTCTATATTTGTTTATATTTTAAATGCGGGAAATTATAAAATTTTGAAATTGACATAAAAATATTAATACGCTACGTTAAAGTTAATCCTCTGATTTCCTTCTTTGGCCTCACGCTAGCCCCCGCCTCGAATATTCTTAATACTAATATCTATCCAGAATTTATCACGAATAGTTTCCAAGCCTACATTATATTATAATTCATCACAAAACTTCAATTCCTAAACCCAACATGTTATAATAATTTTTGAAACACAATATTTTGAGGGAAGCTCTCACAGAATTTCAAAAATTTTTCAGAAAATCCAATATAAATTTCCTTAATAACACCAAAATATTTCTATCACGCCTAAAAGGGGAGGCCCATCAAGGAACAGCAATTATAAAAATTAATAAACCCCTTCAATTTTTAATTTTCCGTATTTAGAAGGTTTCCTTGAATAATCCCCCCCCCCTCCCCCAAACAGTATTTTTTATTTTTTAAATAAAAAAAAAATATTTACAAAAAAATTCAAAAGGATCCATTTTATTACGAGAATGCAATACTGCCACCTAGAAGGAGAAGAGGCAGTATTATGGAAAATGTGGATTTTATTCCGAGCTCTAACATACACCATCATCATTTATCCCACCATCATAACCATAATTCCCACGCTTTATTGCCATACGTGCAACCACGAAGATATTCTGTTATCTCATTTTAAATTTGTATGCTTCTATTTTAATCGACAAAAAATGTGTCCACTCCTCACCCCTCTTCCCCTTAAAAAAAATATTATTATAAATATTTCTTTAATATTTTTATGTGTCTATCTTTAATTCAAGCTAACGTTTAAATTTCTTCTACAATCTCTAACAATACCTCTCATTCATATTTAGCGCGAATTATACAAAAAACACACTGTATTTTTGTATTCTCCATCGCTAATTTTCGCTATAACTGTCATTGAAGGAATTATGTTATAAATTATTTCCCTTAATTTATTATATACAAACTATGTTCTTAAAATTCATTTCTTTTTTTATTTCTTATTTAAATCGTGTGGCCAAAAGTCGGAAAAATGCAAAACGTTATCAAAAATAAAATACAACAAAAATATATATATATTTACCACAAATATTTTTTATTTCTTTTAATTTTATCTTACATTTTTATAATAATTATACATCTCTATTCTTTTTTTAAAGCCCATTTTTTATATTGGTGTTTTTTAAAAAAATATATGTTTTATTATGAAGATTAAAATCCTTAAATTTTCTTTTCTACTAAAAATTTTAATCTCCTTGGGCAGTAGTGTTGTTAAAAAGCCCTTAAAAATCATTATAACCAAAATCACATTAAGTAAGCCTAAAGATTTTGCACATAGCTGGTAGAAATGCTTGCACATCTATTTGCCAGATCTCGATACATAATATTATTTTAACTAAAATCTTAATCGGTCGCTTTTTAACAACACTATTGGACAGGTTTAAAATGGATCACAAAATAAAATTATCCCAAACTCACGTTAGAATTTTTCTAGTCCTTTATTATAAATACGTTTATAATTTTTTTTTACATTATACAAATTGCATTTTTATTAAATAATCAGTTAATCGACAATTGAAAGAAATATGTTTGAAAATTCATAAATCGCATTTAAAATAGTTACTCTTTTCATTCATTTATTTATTTTTGTGCTTTTTTTTTGTTTGTGCATTTATATATTTTTTTAAACATTTTACATTTTATTTTTTGGATTTCCTATATAAATATCGGAATTTTTTGATATATAATCTAATAAAAAAAATCATATTTAACCTCGAAAAAAAAAATATTAGACCTATTAGGAAAATTTATCCTATATTTTGTGGTTTTCATTAATAATGCCTGCCTTTAAACAAAAATCTTTTGATGCTTCTTACGAATTTTTCTAACACGTTTTCATTTTGACTAAAACAAAAAAATTAACTATATAAATAAATTATTTAAGAAGATGCAAAGAAAAGTAATTTAAAGAAAAGAATGAAAGAAAATAGGAAATAAGATCAAATCTTAAGCAAGCATAACTCAATTCTATTCGCAAAAGATTAAGCATTAAAAAATAAATAATGTTGTTAAGCACAACACAGTGGCAGAACAATATAATTATGCAAATGGATGGAGGGGGGGGGTGCTGGTCGCATAAGAATTTTACTTTAACACTAAAATTAATTAGCAATATTACTCCTCAAAAAATAACGGAGGAATAAATCTTTTTTAAAAATTTATAAGGTACAATCGAAATAAATTTGGCAAGAAGACTATTATATTGTTTATTAGGTTGTATTTAAAACAAAATCTTCGTGTCGTATATATAATTGATTATTACACTATAATTAAAATGTATAATAATTTCCATGAATTTGGATAGGGGTTCATATTTTATTTCTGCCCTTTACAGTGCCTATCATGGTTTATATCCAGCGTCTACATGACAGAATATTTCCTGTAAGCGATACCCCCTCCCCCTCAAAAATTTATACTTACCCCCTTTTTTAGAAGAGATTTTCGCACACTATTAATTACAAAGTTTTTAATTGTAATGGTAATCCCTCTTCATATATTTTAAATAGAATAACTTAAATTACCAAATGCTCTACTACAAATTATCAAATAATTCCCCTTCATTTTTACATTATGAGTATATTGTTTGACATGAATATGAGTTTGTTGATAGAATGTCTAACCACTTTCGCATAAAATTATCCAGAAATTTTTGATTGCGATCTTTTTTTAAAAAAAAGGATTAAAATCTAGGATCGACCTTTTCGATAACGATCATGATCACGATCCCTTATTTTTTAAATTTATGAAGAAAATTTATGCTCGATGCAAATATGAAAATAAATTAAATATAGTGTAAATTTATTGCGATAGAAAAATATAACAGTATGAAAATATTTATATAATCAAAGATTTAGCCTTTACATAATAATAATAAAAAATCAAATTCTAAATTAATTATTTAACCGTCCAAGAAGTCTTTCATTAGGAATATATTTAACTTTACTACTCAAGCGCTCCAATGCTTGATGGCAAATTTTTTTTTCTTTATTTATATTCAGTAAAAATTATTAAGGGAAAGCGCATTTTTAAAGAAAGTAACAGTTTTATAATATACAAATCATTTGAATAAGTATCAGTTGGTTGATCCAGCAGGTTTTCTAAATTTGTAATTAGCCTTTTTTTTTACCAATAGATTTTGCGGTAGATCGATATAAGGCCAATTAAGCATAAATTTTGGGTGAATGCTGCTAGTCCTCGCATAGTTTGAAATTTGTATTTTAAGAAATGATAATTAACATTTTTATATAACGGATCTGAGAAAAGTAATAGGTTCTTATTTATATCTCATTGACTGTATATTTTCTTCTAAAAATAATTTTTGTGGGCTGTAAATCAAATTCGTAAATGTCCAACAATTCTAGACCTACGATTCTATATTTACGAATATCAAATTATTCGACCCGAAATTAAAATTATTCATGTTGTTTGAAAATCTTTAAATTTAGTTAAATATTCGAATTATTGCCTAATTTTGTAATTTATATAATATTCGTAATTAAATTTATTGATGATTTGTGTGTTGGCATTTATTTTAAAATAAAATAAATATATTATGAATGATTAAATTATGTAATCTGTAGGAAAATAAATAATAGGCAACCTCTTCTACATTGTGCAAGCGCGTCTATTGCGAATCTCTAAAATGAAGAAGAAACAGTTAAGAAAATTTATAGCCAGAAAGAATGTTTTTTTATTTTATAAATTTAGATTTAAAAATATACTAATTTTTTATTATAATTGTATTTAATGAATTTAAATGTTTTAATTTTTTTTTGTTGTTGTTTTTACTAAATAAAATATTAGCTAAAAAATGTTTTTACAAGAACGATTCGGGAGGCCTGTTTGCATCGCATTAGTGATGTATATCTCATATACATTTAATTTTCTTTTTAAATAATTATTGATAAATAAAAATAATTATTGATAAATTTAATGTCAATCAATAAAATAATTGGTATTTAAAAAATAATAGATATTTATTATATGATATATATTATGAATTGATGTTTTACTTTGAAAAATTTAACTTTTGACTTTTTGTGGATTGAATTGAAAATAAATTGAAATAGATATTATAAAAAAAGAAGAAAAATTATATTGTAATATTTTGATATATGAAGAATAGATTTTGAAATAAAAATTCAATAATATGAGAAATATTTTATTGGTACCGAACGACCAGGATTCGTGAACACTTATTAGGGAAAAATAAGAAAATTTTAAAAAAAATAGTGAATATTTCGTGAAGAGAATTTTAGATATTATAAAGGAAGAACAATTTCTAGGACCGGGTTCCTCAAAATAATAGTAATTCAAGATATATATAAAGGTAAGAAATTTTTTTTTGTATTATAAATTACACAACGCAATAGTAAGATTTTTTGGATAAAATTAGAAATATATGAGATAAAATTTTAAATTTTGCGTAATTAATGAAAAAATGGCTTTTTATTTTAATGATAATTATAATAAGTATAATATTAATAAAATGGCAAATTTTAAGAGTAATTTTAATAAAAATTTTAATTCAAACTTTAATAAAGTGGATGTGACCAATAATGTCATAACTGCAGTAATTTTTTTTGTGTTTTATGTAATATTAATTATAATGAAACAAGTAATAAGGAAAATAAAAAGAAGATCTCTTAAAAATAGAAAAAATGATATAAAAAATACAAATACTGAAAATTTAATTCCTAAAGTTTTGGTGAAATCTCCAGATATTTCTGAAGATATCAAAAATAGTTTACATTTAATTTTGTTAGAATTAAAAAATTTAAATGGTAAAAAAAATGTTATACTGGAAGAAAAATCCGAGAAAATATTAGATACGGGTGAAGTATTTAATTTACCTCAAAATATTGACATATCGGAGGATATAAATAAAAAATTAAATTCAATTGTGATAGAATTTAAAAAGCAAATTTCTGAGGTTTTAATCGAGAAACCAGTAGAAATTTTGAAAAATAATAATACCAATAATACTTTGAGACAAAGTACAGAGGAATCTCTAATTTTATGTGAAATTAGAGAAATGAGAGAAAATATGAAAAATTTGTCCAGTGATGTCTCCAACTTAAAAATTAAAAATAATAATAATATAATTGAAAGTTGTGAGCTTTGTGGAAGAAAAGGACATATCGGTAAAAATTGTTATTCAAGAGACCGAAAAACTAATGAGAATGTGACTGCAAAATCAAGTCAAAAAAATGACATAGTGTGTCATAGATGTGGTTTTGTAGGACATATAAAAAGAAATTGCATGGTGAAAGAAGCCAATTTCAAAAGTGGATTTCCGCAACGAACATCGGTAGTGATAAATCCAGTGGTTCGAAATATACAAAATCCTACTATTACAAATATGGATAAAACAGAAATATACAATACAGATCATGATAGAATGTGTTTCAAATGTGAAGAAATGGGACACATTGCCATACATTGTATCCAAAGTGTGAGTGGGTCACAGTGACTATATGATTTGAAAGAGAATCATATAAAAATAGAAAAATCATATTTAGAGAATAATAAATATTTTGATATATATAGTTTTATTAAAAATTTTGTGGATATATATAAAATAGATAATCATCATGGGAATGATGATATACATTGAAATTTAACTCGAATAAAAAGAGTTGTAATGAAGGAAATTTTTATTGTCATTTTGATGAAATAAAAAAATTTAAATTAACCAATAATCTGAATAAAAAGGATTATTGTAATCAAACAAGTGAGAAATATCCAGGAGAGATTTTTAATAAACATAAATGAGATTCAGAGACATTTAAATTCTGAGATGAATTTAGGTTTGAATATTAATTGTATTGAAAAAGAGATTAAAATAAATACCATTCAATTGATTAAATTGCCTAAAAATTAAATAACTGAGGGAGCAAAGGAACAGAGTTCATGTCCTCATATTAATTTTAGGTGGACAAATGGGTGAAATGTTATTTGATACCGGGGCAAGTATTTCAATAATGTCTAGTGAAAATTTTTATAAATATTGGCCGAATGGTATTGTCGAGAGGCAAAATATGTGTATAAAACAATTTGATGGGTCTGAAATCCAAGTTTTGGGTAAATTGCAGTGGGATGTTCTTTTCCATGATATTCCTCTAATTTTTTTAGGACAGAATTCTTAGGACAGAACTCTTATCTGATATTTGTATCAGTTTTTAAAGGCTATGGAAGCCAAAAGTAATTTTATTTAAAATCAGTCTGATATCAGTAGCATTTTAAAAGAAATGTTATTTAATATCATGATATTGTGATATAGAGAAGATTATTATTAATTTGATTTACACTAAACAGAAAATAAATTCGGGATTTTAGTGCAGGGAATATTGAAAGTTTATTTATATATATAAATGGCTTATATTTAATGCACTTTTAGGGAAAGAAAAGTGAAGAGTAAAAAAAGAAAATAAAATAAATGAATGATGTTTTCGTGAAAATTGTTTATTAATTTGAATGGCATAGGGGTAATAGTAAATAATGTATATGTTAATAAAGAGAAAGATTATTAAAAATGATAATTACTAATTAGTGATTTTATTGTAGGGAAAGAAAAGTGAAAAACAAAATAATTTTTTTTTTAAATAAAAACATGAGTGGTGTTTTCATGGAAAGTTTCTTTCTTTATATAATTTGCATAAGGGAAATATGTAAATAATGTATGATAGAAAATGGAGAAATTATTTTTGCATATAAGTTATACAGAAGCCATATATAAATAATTATGTATTTAAAAAAAAAAAATTTTATAAAAAAAAAATTTTATAAAAAAAAAAGTAAATAATTAATAAGTATTAATTTTATTTTAAAAGAGAAATTTAATTAATTATATTAAAAATAAATTTGAGTATTTATTTAAAATAAAGAAATATCTATAACTTGTGATGAGTTACAAAATTGAGACGCACGAACAAATAATCTATGTGAGGATAATAAAAAAAAAGAAATTGGGAATAAAAAAACCTAAATCTGATGTATTCAAAAGATGCTTTCGCTGTCAAAGTTTCGGACATCAAATCAAAGATTGCAATATTCAAACTAACGTTCTTCAGAATCAAGAACCAGAGGAACATCTTAGTGACATATATGAAGTGCCAGGAACAAATTATTATTGTGGGAAAAATAATATGGTACAGCCGGGGGTTGCATACCAGAATTATAATAAAATCAATGAGTTAGAATCTCGAAGTAAACAGTATAGTAATGGGCAGTGGCCGCATAATACATATAATAGAACAGTAAAAAGATCACATGGAATACAAGCTAAGACATTGGGAGGATCAAATTCACCGATTGAAAACAAATTTAAATATTATGGTAAGATGCAAAATACAAATGAGAATTCAACCAAGATGGGTTCAACTGTATTTAAAGTGACCAACAATAATGATTGACAAAAGAAATATAATGTTATGGAAACTGAAGAGGAGGAGATATTGAAAGATAAAAAAGAGGACATATAATGTAAAATTTAATTTCGCGTTTTTTTTTCATGTCTTGGTCTTTTGTAAGGCAGACGTGATGTATATCTCATATATATTTAATTTTCTTTTTAAATAATTATTGATAAATAAAAATAATTATTGATAAATTTAATGTCAATTAATAAAATAATTGGTATTTAAAAAATAATAGATATTTATTATTCGATATTATATTATGAATTGATGTTTTACTTTGAAAATTTTAACTTTTGACTTTTTGTGGATTAAATTGAAAATAAATTGAAATAGATATTATAAAAAAAAAAAAAATTATATTGTAATATTTTGATTTATGAAGAATAGATTTTGAAATAAAGAAATTGAAATTTAATAAATTCAATAATATGAGAAATATTTTAATTAGATCAACATATAAATTGTCTACGAGCGAATACCTATATGTTCCCCTCTTTTAAATCTATTTTAATTAAGAAGAACACAGTAATATTTGCAAATCATATCTTCTAATGAAGGGTAGTTGCGCATTCCTAGGTGTTTCTTTTATTTGTGCTGATCAAGCTGGTTAATACTTGTGCTTCAATATAAATCGATATTTTTATTTTTAAATACTCAGGTGTCATTTTATAAAAAGTAGATATAATAAACTAGTAAACTAAATTAATATTCTGGAGATTTTGCTCTTAGGTGTTAGAAAGTTTGGGACATCTATTATCGAAATCTCGAGACTTGCATAATATTATTTTGGCTAAAATCTTAATTATAAAATAGGCAATGACCATAATGATATAAAAAATTACGATCGGAAAAATTATTTATTTGGAGTTACGGTAGTATCTTGAATTAATGATAACTCATATATTCTATTCATATTCAAAAAGCAACTTAAAACTATAGTTTATTTCATTTCAAATTCCAAATATATACAACTAATACAATATCCATTTTTTACGTTGTATTTCAAACAACAATAATATATTTTAGTTCATTGAACTTTTAATATATATAACAGTTGCTCTAGAGATAAAATTATTTAAAAATGCAAATCAGCTGAAAATCAAAAATTGGTGTATCACTTCAAAATACATTTTAATTTATGATACCTAGTCGTAAACATTACTTTTATCTAATAAAATTTAGTAGCGGCGTTACTATTGGGAGAAATGGCATATTAAAATAAGGCGCTACTTTTAAGTCACTCGTTACTTTATTTTATTATTATTATTTTTTAATGATTAGGTTTAATATTTTTTTTTTAAAAAAAACAAAACTATTAATATAAAACCAAGTTTAGAAACAAATTATATACTCATATCCTTATTACAATCTTCTTTCAGTTAATTTTTTTTATTGATCTTGAACATCTTCAATTATATTAAGAGTAGAATATTATATGGAAGTATTTTCATTATTGCCTTAAAGGCCAAATGAATAGAGTAAATAACATTCGGCTTCTTTATTGAGGAAAGATATAAATAATATATCTATGTGGGAAATTAGTGCCCAATGCTCATTCCAAGGATTAAAAAAAACGTTTTATTAATATATGTATAATAAACTCGGATAATAAACTGTTATTAAATTTCTTCGAAAATAGAGATACATATTACTTTGAGAAATCTTAAAGAAATTTCGGACATTAAAACTGTGATGTTTAATAAAATACCATTGCCCTCCTCATCATCTATTGAACAAAAGTTTATTACAGCAAAAGTCGTGCTGATAAAACAAGTAATTACTATCAAAAATAAAATTAAGAATCGTTTTGAAAAAGCAATTACCAATTTATAGGATAATAGTAATAATGTTATAATAAAGTTAACTTTTTAAAAAAGGAAGAAGTATAATGCTAAGAACGTTATTATTTTTGCAGAGTAACTCGAAATGTATCGGCGTTACTTTTTGAAATAAGATTGGGCACTCTATTTTAATGAATACATTCGTGTGTCATTGTTAAGAACATGTTGACCGAACGGGTGTTGAAAAGTCATATCGAAACAGATTTGTATGCTTGTTTATCTGTAATATGGATTTTGGAGAGTTTTTAAATAAAAAGAGGAAGGGGAGAGACCAGCAATCTTCACACTAAATTAAAGATCTTTATCCTCAGGGATTATAAAGTTATTCCCAAAATTATTACTCTATCATCCGATTTCACCCGGTCTCATCTATAATGATAATTGGGGGTGTTTAACATTAACCAAAAATTCTAAAAGAATAAATTTAAAAGAGCTAAATTTATTATCTTCGTTGATCATATATTTTCAATGAAATTTTATTTTATCGCGAATTATCTGAACAGAGTTTTACTTGATAATAATATATCGCTCAAAATATACCATTTTCATATCTCGCTAAATGGAAATTTCCATAGCATATGAAGACATTTACTTGACGAAAACCTTTGTTCGAAAATTGCGCTAATTTTCATATCCTCAATAAAATCTTATTTAAATTTAGTAAGGAAATTATTTTAATATTATCCCTCAATATAATTTTATATCTAAAGCAGCAATTAGCTCTAGTTGATTCCAGCAGAGTCTAAAGAACTATGCATCAAAATTGTTTGAATAATTTTTAAATAGGTTACAAAAATAGATGCCAATTTTAATAAATCTTACTTGACTAAATTATCCAGTTAAAAATGGAAATAAATTTTTCTCTAAACAAACCAACTTTTATTATTTATAATAACAGGTAAAAAGCATTAAGTCAATGACAAAAAATGAGAAAAAAAAACAATTGTATATATAAGATATTTTCAAAAAAATTCCAAACCAAAATTTACTTCATTCATTTTTCAATCTTTCTTCTTTCGTTTCTTCTTTTTTTTCTTTTTCTTCTTCCCTTTCTTTTTCTTCTTACCGCTTTCTCCGCTTTCGCCTCCGCTACTCTCACCCTCTCCTTCTTTCTTTTTGTGCTTCTTTTTCTTCCTCTTCTTCTTTTTCTTCTTTTTCTTTGAACCGCTATCTGCCTCTGACACATCTGTCACACTACTCGCTTCGGTTGATGTCGTGTCGGCGGCACTTTTCGCAGCACTTTCTTCTCCAGATTTGCTCTCCTCTTCACTTGTTTCGCTGGCGGCGTCCTCCTTACCTTCTTTCTTTTTCTTCTTTTTTTTCTTACTTTTCTTTCTTTTCTTTTTTTTGCTCTTTTCCTTCTTCTCTGGTTCACTTTCGGTAATGCTGACTTCACTGACTTCTGATTCTCCTTGACTAGCTATTGAGCTTAGTTCGCTAGCTTCATCCAATTCTACCATTCTCCTCGTTGCAGCTTTAGGGTAAGAAGGATGGCTTGCATATGCAACCGAAGGATGGTGAGAATGTTGATAAGGTCGGCTTATGGAATCTCTCACCAACTTATCATATTCTCCATATATTTCCTCAAACTTTTTGAGGTTGGCTTTATTGAAACTCTCGGTGGCATCTTTCAAATCGGTTACACTCATCCTTAAATCGTGAATGGACTTTTTCAGGGACTCTCCTAAAGGACTTTGGCCACCCAAAGCAGGAACCGAAGAAGCTAGTGCCAGACTTAAGGCTTTATAAGGTGTTTCATTTAAAGACCTATTAGGTTGATCGAACATTTGGTCTGTCATTAACAACGGGTTAGTTTGGCTCGAATAAGGATAGGATTGAATATCGTTGCTAGGGTTGATTGACATCCCTCCCATAAAATTTGTATTCATGTATGACGGATACGATTGGGGTTGCATAAGGTCGCTTATTGCAAATCCACGGTTAAAATTAGTTTGACTTAAGGGCCCCATATTATAAGGCATGTTCGTAGAAACCGAATTTGCACTATTATTTGCTAGTAACAGCATTTGGTTTTCGCGATTCTGTTGCATTCGCGAAATGGTGTCTTCCATTCTTCTCCTCTCAACTTGGCCCCATATAACATTGCTACATGTATTACAACAGGGTTTCATATTAGGAGAGTTTCTAAGGGAGTCTCGATTTTTAGCGTCGCATATACAAACTTTTTTATACATTGAAGATCCATCAGATGTTCCCATAGAATTAACCATGTTTTGATAATCCTGCATGAACATTTTGGGACTTCTTATAGTTTTATTCAGATTAAAGAGGTTTGACAAATACCCGAGTCTTTGTTTATAGTCATTATAGGCATAATTAGTCCATAATAAAGTTATATCATCTTATTTTGAAAAACTGTATGGATCATCTATAATTTGAAAATAGAAATGTTTCGGAATTTACTGAAAAATTATTAATTAGATCTCTCCTTAGGTCATTTATATAATAATGTATTACTTTTAAGGAATGTTTATCTAGGATAACTACCTAGAGAAATGTAATATTTTCTTAACGAGAGAACTATCTAATGAACATAGGAAAAGATTAAACCAATTAAAAATGAATAATAAGAGAAGGAAAAATGAGGAAAAAAAAATAATTAACAAATTAAAAAAAAAGAAAAATAATAAAATGATGATTATAAAAACTTTTTAACTATATAAAAAATTACGTTTAGATTACATGCTTCGTCATTTAACGACAATCATTGAATATTCATATTAGGCATATATTTTTTGGGTGTTCCTTGGGAAAATAAAATAATACAAGAAAGAATTATGCATAATAATTATGGTTTATATTAACCAGTTTCAAAATATAAATACTATATTTAATCAATTTTTGATTAGCCAGGTTTGAGGCCAACAACCACCTATTTATAGGATATATTTGCAAACATTTAACCCTAATTTACTCGACATTCAGGTTTATATAAGTGAGTAACGGTTTGACTCCATTTGACTGATTAGTAACACTAAAATAACAATCTTAATTTTTCCTTTTTTACATAATAATTCAAATAAAATAATTATTTCATATTAAATCTTCCAATTATTTACCAATATATTTTCAAATTCTTATTTTTTTCAAAAATTCTATAAATTCATTTTTATTCATTTGAAGTAAATTTTTGTTAAAATTATATTAAACACATTAATAAAAAAAATTAGCTAATCACCACGATTAAATCCAATAAAAGTTTTAGTCGATGATTGCAAATATTTCTAATTAACGCATTGCCTTAGCCTACCTTAGGCCCGGTGGTGTTAGGAAGAAAAGGTTAACTGATTGGAGAAAGGAAAAGGAACTGCCGTTGGTAGGTAATGAGGTGGAAGTTTTTTTTCGGAGAGGAAGGGGAATGTAACGAATCTTAGAATTTAAATAATCTTATATTACGTATATCGAGGATTAAACCTTTAAGTCTCATTTATTTATAATTATACTATTGAGTGTATATTATCGTCAATAGTGATTAGAATGTGCCATACACGCTTCTATTTATTTTTAAAAATAAAATCTTTCTTTTTTTCGAAAATTCGATTCTCCGAGCATTGTAAAATATAAATACTTTTTCGATTTACATTATTTATATTTTCTTTGCAAAAATACGATTATAATCAGAAAATAAAAATTAGGCCATGTGATTCATTGAAAAAAAAAGGCTTCTTAAATATTTTTTGGGGCATAGAATAAGATCGTAGGTTAAAATAAGGGCGTTATATTTTGATATGTACAGAAAATTGTAAGATTTACGTTTTATACTCTAATCCTTTTTTTAAAATAAAATAGGTAACACTTATTAAAATAACATCTTATCATAAATTTTACTGCTACTTTGAGAAGAAAAAAGAGTTAACATTTATGGTCAAGTCAACACATAGCAATTTGTTAAACAACCATATTTCTTAATCAAAGATTTTTTTTTTTAAAAAATGCAATATGACCCATTTTTTGCCCACTCCGATCTTGACCATCTAGTTGGTCACAGAAATAACCTGATCTTTGTTGAATTCGAGCCTATGGATTTTACGATTAGTCATCCACGCACTCACCCAGACGATTTTCGAAAATGATGATTTATTTTAACGTGACAGTATCGTTCCAAAAGAAAAAAATGTATAAAATACCGATTCGTTCAATACTACCTTTCTAAAAACAACCGGAAAAAAAGGTGGCATCAATATTTTTTTCCACTATTTTATTTTATTCAGTCAATGTTAAATTCGAAGTTTTGAATTGAGAGAGAAATTTATTCCCATTCCAAATTAAATTAATAATTATTAGAATCAAGAAGTCAAGAATTGAGTTATAGCAAGTTAATTCATTAAAATATATAGTTACTCAATAATCATAATATAGAATGAATAAAACTGAAAACTATAAAAATAAAAACTAACCAAAAAAATATTATTAAACTTTTCTTCTTTTCTTTGCATCTTCGATTTCTCTATTTATATTAAATTAGGAGGTAAAATAAGAATCCTTACATCAGAACCTAAAGAACATTATTTTTTAAACAAAATATTCACAATACCATTTTAAAATATAATTATTTATGTTTTTTGGGGAACTTGTAGTCCCACTTCCGTTTTTATCGAATGAGTTTTTTTAATATTTTATTATAGTTTGATTGGAATATGGTTGTATATATTATAAATCAAAAAAAAATTATAGGTTAAAAAAAAAACTTTAAACACTTAAAATTTACATACTACCGTTATTATTTATATAATTGTCATTACGATTATATAATTTAAACACTTCATTTAATCATTATAATATTAATATTCAAGTTAATAATTTTTCAATCATAAAATAACTTTTCTTTCAATCCAAGTCTTAAAAAGCTATTTAACATGATAAATACGTAGTAATAGGATTTTGGCAAATTCAGGCCTAAGCCTCGCTCAAATTTTTAACAAATTATTAAAGCTTAAATAATTTATAGTAAGGGTTTTTTTTTTCAATTTTGAGGCTTTTCGCTTGATAATTAGGTTATTCCATGTCAGCATTTTGTTTATAGGAGAGCAATTTTAAAAATAAAGTTTCTATTAGTTCACGATATGATGATATAGAATTACATTAGCTAAATTTAACCTATTTTATAATATTTTGTATTTTTTTATGCAAATAGAATAATAAAATAACTCCAATTTCCATATATACTTTATTTTAACAATTCAATTATATAAAAAAAATAAATTTAACTTGTACACATCAAATTATAATAATATATATACATAACTTTTATACAACAAAGGAGTTGGTTTTCAGATGATATCAGTCATCTCTCTAATCCATATTGATTGACATCTTTTGATGTCTTACACGCATATCACATAATATTGTCATTAGATATTATATAATAATTAAATATATAATCTATATTTAAACATTATTTGATTGACATTGGATATTATATAAAGTTATATATGTAATATATATGTTTAAAATACACAATTACGATAAATAGTATAATTATAAAAAATTGATATAAAGTAGTCATTTTTTATAAAAGGTAGATATGAAAAGGCCTTTGAAAATTGGAAAAAAAACCCTCACTATAAAATGAATCATTTTTTAAACATTTGCGGAAAAAAACAAGATTTGTAAAATCCCCTGACCCATTCTATTTTTGTTTTATCTCATCAAAAATTTTAAATTGATTCTCTTTCTTTTCTTTTTTTTTTTTATTTTTAAAAAAATTTATTTATATATTTCTTTTCAAAAATGTATAAATTATGATAATATTGATATTGATATAATTTTGAAAAGAAATGACAAAACACTTAAATATTAACAACAATATATGTTTAACCTTATTAAATATTCTTTTTTTTTTTTAATATAAGACAATATAATTAATATTTGTATATATATTTATATACATATAAAAAAAACATTTTAAAAAAATAAATAAATATAGTATTGGAGGATATGTTTGTGACGGTGTTAAAAAAAATAATAAAAAAAAATATATTGAGGTTAGGAAGGATAATCTTGTGGGGAGAGACTGCTTATGAAGCTAATATAATTAGCCTTGTGTATTGCGTTGGAGAGCCTTTGCCTTAAGAAGAAGCCCTCGCGGGGTTCACCGGTTAGTTGACGAATGTGGGAGCCGAGTTCCTTGAAAAAGGATAAGGCATATTTCCCAAAAGTAGTAAGGGTAGTGGAAATAATGGGGATGAAAATATATTCTTGAGAGATTTCGGAATATTTCGCTATTTTGAGTGTCTCCTTTTTCTCGAGTATATTGACTGTTTGATTTGATGGAGCGAGTGGATCAATACAAGAATAGTCCCAGACCAGGAATTGACCGCGCTTCCAAGGAATTTGCGAAATACCGTCAGGCCGTTTCCCATCAGATCTGAAAAGACCGGATGGTTCAAGAGTGGAAGGGATTTGAGTAGATCTAAGAGCTCTAAGAATGATCGAATTGCATAGATTATGTCTTACAATTCGACCTTTACATGAGCGACAATGAAGACTATGTCTTCCATTGCCCAAAACTGTGGAGCTGCAACCTGAACATATGTGGGGTTGGGTAATAAGGCAATTTAAACGGATACCGATTGCATGTGTGAGCTCGTTTTTATTTAGTTGTAATTGCAGATTAATAGACGGAATGGCCTCGAGAAACTCATGGCCTGAACCATTCAGCAAAGAAGAGAATAAGGGACGGTCAGATAATTGCATTCTGGAAAGGAGTGATTCAACGCAGAGTGCAATAATAAGCCTATCCCAGTCCTTCTGCTTATTAGATTCAGGAAGAGGGTGATCAGCAGAAATTCGTGTCCTCCATTCGATGATTGCATCATTAAAAGAAGAGTCGGGTTTTAAAGAATTGGGATTTATTATGTTTTTAGTTAGTAGGCAACTGGATATAAAGGCCGTTAAGGCGAGATCGGATGGAGATCTGAGGCCCAGACCTCCCATCTTTGTGGGTAAAGAAGCTTGTGTCCAAGCAATTTCATCGAATTTAAGATTTAGAATGTTTTCGATAAGGATTTTGATCCCATTAGTCATAAACTCCAAGTGGAATGGGGAATTTAAATATGGCAGTTGAGCGAAGTGCGTAAAGAATACGGGGAATATTGAAAAAAATTTTCACCAGGAAAAAGGCTTTATGAGAAGGAAGAAGGGAAAATAAATCTGCCAGCTCTAATAAAGTATCCAAAGTGGACTGAAGAAAGAAAGAAATAGCAGAGTTACCACCAACAGGGGCTCCCAGATGATAGAGACCGTCAAGAGTCGTTAGTTTGAATTTGTTAGTATTAGGTTCGATTGTATTGATAGGGATTGATTTCTCTGGATTAATGGAGAGTCCTATAGCTGATCCGGCCTCCTTGATGATGTTCACAGCTTTATTGACTTCAACATTGGAACCTCCAAGGATACCATCATCAATGTACCAGGAATGCAAGGATAATGAGCAGACAGAATTAATGGATTTAATGATGTCATTAATAATATAGAAAAAATCATTCTAAATTGTTATGTAATTTTACATTTAAAAATTAAGCATCATATTGAAATATTGACACGAGAATCAAATAAAAGGTAATTATAATATCTTGTGACTTTGATGTTAAGTATCACTTTAAGAGGTCGGTCAATGTATCGGAGGGTCTGGAATATTTTTATCAACATAAAATATTGATATGTTTATCAAATAGAAGTTAAATAAAATATAATAAAATTCTGATTTACCATCACTTGAAGGGCTATCAGCAAGTTATAAATATTCCTGATAATGACTGAACTCAAGAAATGTTTAACTTGAGGATATTTTTTAATTGAATGAATTATATTTAAACGAAACAAGTATCTGAAAAAAGAGTAAGGTTAGAAGGGTATGGATAAAACTAATTAAAGGTTTAAGGTTCAGGGTTAAGATAATTAAAAATCGCTTTACAGGTCATGTGATTATTGATATTGTAACGGTAATTGCTATGAGTTGGACCATAATCAATATTCTTATGAAAAAATTTAAACTTTTTAAAAAAATTAATATTTTAAGTTTGAAATTATTTTGAAGATAATGATAATGTTTCAAAAATACAAATTTTATTAAAAATAAATGACTATTCCATAAAATTTAACAAATATTTTTTTATTACTCACATCTTATGAAAAGGTATACTACATTTTTCCAAAATGAGGCTGAAAAGTTCAAATAATTGGATATTCAAAATATATATCAATATTTGTCTAAGAGTAGCAACCATGGCTTTTTCAAAGTTGCCAATGAAGAAGATAATAATAATTATAAGACGATACCCTTATTTCATATCATATCATACGTGGCAAGGTGCATACCTGACATCTGTTGAAATATAAATTAATTAATGATTGTTTATTCAAAATTAGAAACTATTGAGGAGTTAAGTAATGCTATGTTTTAAATAATTGTTAAATATAATGATAATGAAATGCTATTGCTCAAAATGAACCATAATAAATAAAGTAATTATCTTATTGAAATAAGTGAGATATAATTTATAATTGTATTATGTAATTAAATGAATGTAATGATAATCAAATTAAGAGATCACCTCAAGAAAATATACCCAGTCCAGATAAAATATTTATATCCAATTCGAAAAATTATGTAACAAAAAAAACATGGTTAAGCATATTAGGAAGAAGGAAATTGACAAACTAAGCTTGTTTTTTGAATAAATAATCAATTACTGTTTCTCAAAATTATTATTTATAGATTAAACTCTTAAAGATGCTAAAAAATTAATGCGGGAGAAATTTTAAAATTGCGGGAGATGTTTGTAGGAGATTTAATTGCGGAAGTTTTGCAGGAAGGAGATGTGTGAGTGCAAGCTAGAAAAATTGCGGAAGCCCCCCTCATGGAGGGAGACTTGGAAACCCCGTTCATGTACCCCATCTAGGAAGCTTCGGTAGGAGCAGCGTCTACATGACAGGATTTTCACTGGATGCAAACCCCCTTCAAAAACCTTTGCCTACCCCCCCCCCTCCCTAAAAAAATTTGCCGTCTTCGGCGGCGGTGTCTCCCTATTATTATTTTTACCTTTTAAATTTATTGATACTCTTTTCAGAGAATTTATAAAGGATAGCTTAAATTAATCTATCTCTACTACCAACTATTGATATTTTGTGAATATAAAGAATTTATTTTTATATTATAAATTCAATTAAAACCTCCATTATTTACAATGATTTAATATAGATTTGGTCGATGAATTGTATTATAATAATTCTATTATAAAAGTATTAATTTTTACAGCAATAAATTTTGTCCTATTTCATCTCAAAATTTAATAGATAACCCCTCAAAAAATTTATCTTACCATCATTAAAGCAACCTAACCCCTACCCCCCCCCCTACCAAAAAAAAATAGGATGCAAACTGTTCCTACCCCTCCCGCTCATGTAGACGCTGGGTAGGAGATAAAATGGTCAAAGATGTTAAGTAAGTCCTTTAAATATTTAGGTGTAAGCTTTGACAGCAAAGGGGTTGTAAAGGAGCTCAAATTCAAATATAAAAACGTTAGGACTGCATTATATAAGTTTCTTAAAAGGGGGGGGGTGCAACAGAAATATCAGTGTTCACGAAACTCTAGATTTTCAACTCTGCCATTAAGTATCTAAAATTACATTTTGATAGCTAATAATATCCATAATTATTTACTTTTTTAGCTAAATTTATCTAAAATTACCTGCTTTTTTTAGCTACATTATTCAAAATTTACCTTTTTTTAGCTAAAAATATCCAAAATTACATTTTTCTTTTTTTTTGTAGCTAATTATCCAAAATTACTTTTTCTTTTTTTTTCGCTAATATTATCTAAAATTATTACCTTTTTTAGTTGTATAAAATTACAAAATTTTGAAGAGGCTATTAATATTCAATGGGCTCAGCCGCTGCCACCCCTCCCCCCCTTACCCCCTTCCTGCGTGGGGAATGATCGAAACGGATACCAAAAAGATCCAAACGTTCATTAACAAATGTCTAAGAATAAATGTGTATTAGTACGCGTGGCTTGCCCATAAATCAGTATGGGTTTAGGTTTTCTCATATTAATTTTTTCCCAAACTTTTAATATTTAGTTTGTGATGGAAATGAGGAAAATCTAGGGTAATTGTATCACAGCTGGAGGCGAAACATTTTCGTCACGTATCACGTAATGCATACTGTTGATATGAATAATTGTATTATAGATTTATATATTCGCATTCGCTATAATCATTAATAAATGAAGTTATGTTATATTAATTGTTTTTTAAAGAGAGGAATTTGTGGTGATTTGACTGAATAATTTAATGTAAATCAATCAAGTAGTGTTTTCTGTGAATTTATCCGCATCCCAGTAGTATCAGAGGTTTCATATGTACCATAAATCATATTTTAAATATATATCTGAATTCACAAAATAACCTGTCACTATATCCCTTAGTCAAAAATAATATCTCACTGGATCATAAATAATATATCACGATCATAAATAATACATGACTTTTAAATTCAAAAACATATCTTCTTCATATAGATCTTTTTGTCAACAATTTAAATATGTTTAAATATTACGCATAACGAAAAAAAAATGTTCTTAATTCAAGACTGAATTTAAGTGTGATAAAATAATAAAAATGTAAATTGTAATGGGATAAATAAATATAAAACTTAATTATTTTCAACCATGACATGACATGATGCATAAAATTTAAATATTTTTATATAATGTTAATATATTAATCATTACAAAATAGTGCATATATTTTAGCAAAAAAACGTTTGCGTTATATGTGATGATATGATTACTGTAATATGTCTGTTAAGTTAAGGTTTTAATCTACGTTAAGGACTTTTATTTTGAGTAATACAAACATAGATAACAATATATTAATATAAAATAATATAAAACATCAATCTGCGAAAAAACCGATCAACCCAACAAATTTTTTTATCAAAAAAATTTTGCTCTAGCAATTATTCATTTTAAATACTTAAACTTTATGCCTTATATCTATTAATATGTCATGCTCCTCCCACATTACCTTCTTCATCTATCTATATTCTGTTTGCTACTTTTGGTGATATTATCTTTATATTCTTCTATTCTTTATCTCTCGTCATAGTTTTCACTTAACGCCTCTATTCTTTTAGTATCTAAAAAAATGTTATATGTTAAACTTTTATTATAATAAATAATTGCGCATTTAAATAGAATAAAATTTAATGGCTAACATTATTGATGAAACTTAAATTAAAATATCTATCTCATGGAATATAAAACCACATTTTTTTTAAATTTATGAAAGATGGACTTTAGCATAAATGATTCCTATTCTGAAACAGATGATCTTAATTCCGAAATTGAAACACAGTTATATTCTTTGCTTCATCATAATTATGACTCCGAAATGAACTATAATGGATATTTCAATAATAGTTTGGAAACGTATAATACCCCTTACCAAAAAAGCTATTCTAATGTACCCTCTACCTCATTTAGCAATTTGACACATTCTAACCGAGATAAGAATAAAAAAAATTTAAATCTCAATAATTTACGTGATAACTCTAGTTGCTCCAAAAAGTTGCCTGGACATGGAGCTTTAAACCCATGTACTTCCAGAAGATATTTTGGTTCCAAAACGACATCGACTTCTACACAGATCCAGAATGATGATTATTTATGCAAAATTTTAGAAAATCTGCCTAGTAAAATTTTTCTGGTTCATTCTATAATAATATATATTCCTTTAGACAGTTATTGGCAAATTTCTAATCAAGATATTCATGTAAATTCCAACAAAATACAGTTTCCAAAATGCACTAATTGTCTTAAAAAGGGTCATAAAGAAACTGAATGTCCATTAGTATATTTAAAATAATTTAAATTATCTATTTTTTCTTTTTTAGAGTTATGTTAGAAGGATATGCTTCTTATGTGGCTCAACTGGTCACAGTGAGAGAATGCATATTTTTTGTCATATTTGCTTGGACCTTGATCACATGTCGCATAAATGTCCTTACAGAAATAAAGTTTACAAATTCTGTCATAATTGTGATCAAAAAAGTCATTGGAGAGAAGTCAATATATTTATTTATACTAATATATATTTTTTAAATTTAAATCAAAAATATATGATTAATATCCACCTACATACTCTTTTCCCCTCCAAAAATATATACAAGATATCATGATAAACAAGAATTTGAAAGAAAAATTAGTAAAAGTTAACTTTTTAAAATAACTACTATTCAATATTTTCATAAAAATCTAGCATGGTGAAAGGCCTATAAATGGACCTAAGGACCTCCAATAAAATTTATGATGATAACCTATATAATAGTACCCCCACCTTTTTAGTTAAATTTTGACTAAACCTATGAATTCTTGGAATCAATATTGGCCCATACTTTCAATTAACCTTCATAAAATAAAATAAATTTTATAGCCTTTATAGAGCTTATAATTTATAGAAAAAATGAATGCACAAATTTCTTAGTTAATAGGAAAGAAGGTAGGTATTGTTAACCTTCCTTTTATTGCTTAATTTATAGCGAAAATAATTAACTTACAAATTTTAAGCTAATAGAAAAGAAAGTGGGCATTGTTAACTTTCCTTTTCTTACTTTTTTATAGAAAAAAATTAATGCCCAAATTTCTTAATCAATAGGAAAGAAAGTAGGTATAGTTTGCCTTCCTTATATTACTTATTTTTTTTCTACATATTTAAATTTCATAAATTAATTATAAATAAACAAATTTTAAAAAAAAACATATGATTGGCAAGTGATATCTTTTTTTTTCAATTAATATTTTTTCTGTTTAATGGCAGTTTTTAGATTTATCTTGGTAAGTTAGTTTTCCCTCTGATTTTATCTCCATTTTTTATTGTTCTGGGCATCACTATTTACAATATTCATTTCTCACATGTCACCTGCAATCACTTATCACACGTTTTTTGTTCAACATTCCTAAACCACTACTTCTTCTTATCATAATAATCGTATAAGATCTTGTAAAATACCTATCAATAGCTTAAACATTTACCTATAAATATACAATATTTTTTAAATATTTACTTTCCAAAAAAGGTTTAGTAAAGGTGATTTTTTATACCTATTAGATCCAATTCATGGTAAGTTGGATCATTGATGGGGCTAGTTGAATCAAGTGGTTAATTAGTAAAATAGCAATCTTTTTTGGCACAGGACCCATTCACATAACCTTTACATACTCTGCATTGAAACGAATCTTCAAAATTATGAAAATTTTTTAGTCCTGTTTACATATAATACAAACATCTTTATTATTCCATGGTTTTTTTTATTCTGCTCTTAATAGAAGCTGCTTCTTCAATGGGGATGTGGTAAAAATTTTGGCTATAATTTTAAATACCTTTTTAACAGATAAACTGTAAAAGGTTTTACTTCATGAAATTAGATAATTAGCCATTTTATTTTTCTCCTCATCATCAAATATTTTTTGTTTATTATCTTGTTCTATCTTGGAAATAGTGCAAGCCATTTTTTTTTATAATGTCTTAAAAAATTTATAGTAGTTATACTTAATAAAATAAATAATAAACTCACTCAAGTCTGTGAATCACTTTTTATAATCCCTTTGTGAAAATATTTTTAAATAATTTAATTAAATCAAGCCAAAATAAATATCCTGATAACTAAAACGTTCATACCTATTTAAATGTATTATTTGAATCATTATATTGGCAATTACAGTAGATATATATATATATATATATGAAGTATATATATGAAGATCTTTGTTTGCTATATAATTCATTTAAAATAATTGATCTTATTATCAGGCTAATATTTATATATGGTAAATAAATGTTCATATCTGAAATAAAATATAAATATAATTTGAATTGCATTGATAAATTTATATAATTATTATCATTTTATAAATATTATATCTTAACCTGTAATTGATGTTACTTTTCTTGAAGACATATCATTTTCAAACAATTTTATTGCCTTTTCATAATCCTTTATGGTGACAATTTTCCTATTTGAAAGGTTAATATATTTGAGAACCATAATAATATCATAAAAATTAATTGATTGATTGTGCCCACAAGCCACGATACTAATAACCCCAATGGTGGTAATATTACTAAAATGATCTTAACATATATTTAAGTTTTACATATCAATCTGAAACTTTTCTAAATGAGTGTTAATTTTCATATATTGTCAATTTTGTCATGTTTAAACTTTTAATTTTATAACAACCTAAAGTGAATGGATATCATAGAATTCTATTTTAGAACAAAATTTTAATTTAAAATCGTAACTGGTTTTAAAATAAAATCCGCTGAACCGACAAGCCCCTTGCGCCAATCACCTTTCCCTTTGTATACAGGGATAATTACACTTTTTTGCCGATTCTATGTAATAGTTCTTTGTTTAAGTATTGACGCAAATTCATAAGCCAATTAATGCTCCTTATCCTATAACTACTATTCAGATTTCTGCACCTTGTGTCAGGTCTTTTCTGGCCGTCATGTGTCTCATTTTCATGAATTGGTGATTTCACGGTTCCCCATCCTTCTTATTGTCGTAGATAAATGAGAAGACCCTCAGGGTACTTTGAGCTATTCCCCACCTATATTGATTTCACTAAGGATTTTGGAATGTTATTTCTTTCTTAACGTCAATCTCTTTAGTTGACTTTTACACCCCATAGAGGAAACTGTTATCATATTCTAAATCCTCACCATAAATAACCTTTTGAAATCTTCATTAGCCACTTGGAGTCATAAATTTAGGTTGAAGATATAATTCTAGGGAAGTTTTTTTATTTTAATAAATATTTTGAGCCTTTAAAATTTAAAAAAGAATTAAATGTCCGAGCCAGGCAAAAAGAAATTAGGGGCCGGGTTTGTAAATAATTTTTTAAGGCTGCGTACAAAATATCAAAACGCAAATTTCTTAAACTTTATTCAGAAAGGGAAAAAGCTTCTTTTTTTAATATAAAAAATAAAACATGTTCAATATTTCATTAAAATTTTGAAATTTCTGAAATTTTTAAAACTTTTCTAATTTTTTTTTTAAAAAAGGAGGTTTTATGCATAGTCTAAAAAAAATCGTGGGCCAGGCTAGTTTGAAAATAAAGTTTTTCCCTAGAATTAGCGTAATATTTTAATCTTTACCTGTTTTTGGTTTAGGTGTAAGCTAAAGAAAAGGGTCATCAGCTGAATTTAACTTTTAATATATATATTTTTTTTAAATGAATAATTATTGCACTGATAATTTGAATTTTTTGTAATTTTATTTAGCATTTTAATATTAAAATATTTTTTTAAATAAAAAATGGCGTCCTACAAATAGATATGCCCAAGTATTTGGCGCCAATACCATTTAACCACACAAAACGAAAACAAGACACAAACGAACGCAAAATATTCTAATCATCGTAAATCGAAGAAATCTTTTACGATCGTTAATTACGACGAACAAGGATTGGATGATTTAGATGAAATGATATGTTGCTATAATTGCGGATATATGGGACACAAAGGAAAAGTAATTTAGTATAAAAATAATGTGTAAGTCACATGAAAGAAGTAAGGTGATTGGGGAAAATAGAAATTGACGAATGAATGACAACTAAAGAGGGCATAATCAATTTAGGGAACCAATATTTTTAAATTGAAATAGTTTTTGTGAGAAAAGAATTTTTTTTTAAAAAAAATATAACATCTGATTCTGAAGGGAGTAGGTAGGAAAAATAAAAATTGATACATATAGTAGAACTTCGATATAACGTTTCATAGAATCGTCAAAATTTTTTAGAATTATGGCCATGTCATAGGTTGACTTATTAGTTATTTTATTACTAAATATCCATAAAAAGCAAAAAAAAATTTAAAAACCGAGAATAAAGTACGAAAATAAAACAATTCCACCATATACTTAAAAACAAACCAAAATAGGGTGTCCTATTTTAAAGGCTGTTTAGCCTATATAAAATGCAATTATTAGGTGACCCTGGACACGGCCTATAATAAATATAAGCGTATGAAGTTTTATATATAAGTATTAAACTATTTAATGAACTGTTTTATTATTAATTTTTATTAAATTACATAATATAATATGTAATAATATACATCCGCACAATATATAAATATCGTGATATTTTAAAATCCTTTTCTTATTGCAGAGAATATAAGGAAAAAATAATAATATAAAATCTTAAACTAATTTTTTTTTAAACATTGCAACAAATAAACTGTATATTAGTTCCTTTCATTAATTTATTATTATACAATTATTTATAAAATAAAATTAAAAAAATGTATAATAAAAACAAAAACCGATATTTTTTAAAAACGCTAAATAAATATCAGTGCCGATCCGATATTTAATATTGACATCTGAAGAAAATACAATAAATAATCTACCTTAATTTATCGCATAATAACTGTTTTGTATTAAATTGTTTATGTTGTTATTTTTGTATTTTTTTTTGTAAAATGTTTATTTTCATTATATGAATTTGAATAGTAAAAAGATAATGCGATTTGATAAACGAATAAAATAAAAATATATTTCGAGGACTACTTCTAATAATAAATTTCAATAACTTTGATATTATTTATTGAATGGATACAAGTCTATTTCTCAAAGAAGAAGAAGAAAATCTATTAAAAAGGAAAGATTTACAAATTCTTTAAAGCTTCATATAACTTAAGGACACTTAATTATGTATATATATTTTTCAAATAATTGATTAATTTTATCGCTAACAATAGCAATGAGTAAGTCGTATAAAAAATAATGTTATAAAAAGAATAATGAAAAGCTAACTCCACCCTATAAAAATTAATCTTCTTTTATACACTTAGGAATGCGTAAAATATCGTATGACGAAGTTTGTTCCACATGATACCGCTATCATAAATTATAATCAATGTCCAATTCCAGCCCATAGAAATTTGGCATCCCAATTGCATTCCGATGGTATTAGATATTTTAATATATATTAACAATAATTAGTATACCAACAAATCATAGAAGAGGTGTGGGGAGTGGTAAATATAGCTATCCATAATAGTTTTTCTTAATTATAATTTTCACTTAAAAAACTATAAATTACACTATATGGGGCTAATTGATATATATATATATATACTTAAGATCGATGTTCCGGAGATGACTGGACCGGTTTCTTATAACATTCTTTGGTTCTTTAGAGATTGGTCTAGTCAATGTTGGAGGTTTCGACTGATCCACAAAACAAAAAATTCAAAATTAAGTAGTTGGCTGTATTCCGATTAAAGGTTTATAATCCAAATCTTTGTCGGTCTAGTTTGACCAAGTTTTTTTTGTCGTTTAATTCTATCCCAACCTGGCCATTAGCCTTCATTAATATGCACCAATATTTATTATTATTATTATATTCAATTTCTACCTTTCACCTCAATAAAATAAAAACGACTATCTTAATTTTTTTTTAGCCCATCATAATTTTTAAAATTAAGGAAAATATATGAAGGCCACATATTTTCGATTCCCTTGATAAAAAATCCAGACTAGGTTTAAAAATTAATTTTTCTTAAGATATCCTAGCCTAAACTAAAAACTTTAATATCCTATCTCTGTTATTTATAGATGTAGCAATATAGGTTGGAGCGGGCTGGACATATGCGATTTTTGGGATGGGTTGGACAACTTGTATAAAATTGTTTCATGGGTCAGGCAAAAATATATGTTATTGGTCGGATCGGATCCCACCATGAAGGGGGCTTAATACATATTAATTACATATAGTTTTAAAACGATATCAAATTAACTAATTTTATAAGAGAGAAACAAAAATAACCTAGAACTTCCAGCTAAACATTTTTATTTTTTTTAAATTATCAATAAGATACATATATTATCTGAGATTATCTATCTTTGCAAGAATCTCAAAGGAATACAAGTATACCTTTTTATATATCTGTCTTAAAAAAGATTTAATAATCACTTTTTAACTATTTTTTTTTCTTGGCTCCTTGCATTAATTTCGTTGTTTTTCTTTTTCAGTGGCAGATTTGCAGAAAAATATTCGATAGACTTAGCATAAAATAGCATCAGAGATATGCTTACAGTTAAGGTTATTCCACGTGGATTCACAATAGTATTTCACCCGATTTAAAAAAAAATTTTTAATGAAATCTATCGTTCTTTATTAAAATCAGTAATTCTTAGGAATTTTATCATAAATAGAATTAATATTAATAAAGTAAAATTGATCTCATAAACAGATTTTTAAAAATAAATCAACTTTTAAATCGTATCGTTAGGGATCTCACTATGAATAAAGCATAATGTTTAAAATCCTTTATATAATAAAAGCCGTGTCACAGAAAATTTACCATGTTTTGTGAATAAGTGCAACAAGCCATGTGGTGGAATCGAACCCGCAACAAAATAACATATTTGAACATTTGTGGTATCCGCTTACCGACCACTATGCCATCACGACCTCTTATAAATGGCTTATTTTTTTTATCTATTTATTCTCCATTCTATAAATAATTGTAAAAGTTGAATAATAATTAATGTTATGCCTTTTAAATAGGTAACTTTTTTGATTCAGAGATATCATAAAAATTTGCTTTTATAAGATTTTTTACAGAAAGGATTTGAAATTAATAACTTATAAAAATGATGGAAATTCACAAAAATTTACTTTTTCAAAGACTATTTATTAAAAGATTTGGTTTTATAGGTGAAACATGGGTGATATTTATCATAGATCCCGCCCACATATAGGATTAGTTTGTTTTTTACACAAATAATTTGGAATATGTAGCTTATAAAAATTATTTAAAAATATGACAAAAATTTACTTTTAAAACAAAAGGATTTGACTATAAGATAACTTATAAAAATGATTTAGAAATATCATAAATATTTGTTTCTAAAAATGGTTTGGTTAAACTGAAGTAACTGGTAGCCCTAATATCTATCATCCTTTCATAGGGTGGTATAATATATTTTTTAGATATAAAAAGAGTTATATTTAAATGAACAGATAATCCTTCAATGACGGGGAATAATACATTATGCTTAGAAGATAGCATAACTAAGTGTGACATAATCATATACGATTCAGAGTTTTCTGCTTTATATCTAGAAGAATATAAATTCATTGTTTAATGGAGGGGAAAGAAATTGAAAGCTACATGTGAGAAATAGTGATCTGCATCGGGCCTAATTTTTCAAGCCCGGCTCGGCCCGAAATTTTTTTAAAAAAGTTTTGCCGGCCCAGCCCGAACCCGAATTTTTTGCCGGCCCGGCCCGAATTTATTTAGATATAGAAATTCATTTTTTTAATTACTCAAAATAAAAGATATATGTTATATGGTCGTTTAATTTCGATAAACAAAATCAAATATTTTTATTTTACATAAAAATTCAATATAAAATTGATAAATTTAGATATATTTAAAAAAGTTTCTAAGGTCCGGCCCGACCCGAACCCAATTATTTAAGTAAAATTAGGCCCGAGCCTGGCCTGAACTAACTTTGCAGATCTCTAGTGAGAAATATATGATATTTCAGTTAATTATAATTTGATTTTATTAGCTAAATTTGACTTCTTTATAGGGATTAGTTTATATACCAAAGGTTGTAAAATATTTATGCCTTCATCTCTTAAATTTTTCGGACTTGTTCCTTTATAATCAGTCCAGAGATGTTATCTGTGAGATAACCTTATTTTTCGCGTAAAATCAGAATTTTTGTTTTACTAGACGAATAAATATATTCATTATTTGGTGAAGAGTAAATGAGATGCTTGAAATTTGTTAAAGAACAATATGAAAATTTATATAACTAAAGAAATTTGATTATAATTGAAAATAATTTTTTCTATCGTCCAAAATTTTTGAAAAAATTAAAATTGTGACCATTTTACCACTTTTGGTGATTAAACTAATCCTTATAAATAGGTCTTCTAAAATAAAATCAAACCCATCTAAAATATCATATAATTTCTCATATACAGATTTCATTATCAAGTATCTCATTTCCCTCTTTATAAAACAATGAATGTCTATATTCTTCTAGATATAAACCAGATAACTATGAACCGTTCGCGATTATGTATCACTTAGTTTTTTTTTTATCTTTCATTTTATTCATTGATGGAGAATCAGAAATTTCCCCTTTATTTTTTTGTTTTAGGCTGATTTATCATCAAATAAAGGGGAAATGGATTCTCTTATCATCGAATTAAGGATAAAATTTCTATTTCCCGTCATTTTTGACAAGAACTATGATTCAGAAATTTATCCTTATTTTCCTGATTTATCCACATCATCAAATCTAATAAATGGGAAATTTCTAATTCATCCATCATCAAACAAACGGGAATTTCCGAATCATCCACTATCAAATAAAGTGAAAATGTTTAATTCGTCCATCATCGAATAATGGGGGAAATTTCTGAATCATTTATGATCAAATAAAGGTAAATTTTTTTTAATTTTATCAATCATCAAATTAAGAAAAATATTATGATTCCCCGTCATTTCTGACGGACTTTCTGCTCGTATATTATAATAATGTCATATATTTGTTATCCTTTTTATTAATATAAATATAATATTTATTAAATTAATCAGAAACCTGCAGGGGTACCATTTACACCGCCCGGGATTTTTTTTAAAGAAAAATTTTTCGGCTCTTGCCCGTGTTTTATATTTTCAGTTAAATTCGGTCCGGCTTGGATTTTATAAAAAAATATATTGCAATTTATTTTTAATTTTTACAGCTAATAATTACGATTTAAAATATAACGGCCCGACACAAGTTTTAGAAAGAAAGGGACTATTGGGATTTTGTACATGCTCAAAAACAAAGCAGAATAAGTTGTCCGAGGTTAAAATCTGAATAGACTGGTCTTAACAGAAATAAGTTTCAAAAATAAAATGATCCAAGACACGGTCTGATAGTAAAATTTTATTTTGATCCAATTTGAAAACCTACCCAATTTTTAGAGGCTTTCAGCTTGGATCCCTGATTTTAACTCGCATTTGAAATCATAAAATTGATCTGCCGATCAATTTAAAACCCCATAATTTCCCTTCATTCGTGATCTGTATATATATCAGAAAATCTGTGTAACCTATCCCAAAACTTTTTAAAATCTAATTTGGGCCAGGAAATTTGTGTAATGCAAATTTATGTGGTTTACCTTTACATAATTATTAGAAGGGCCTAGAAACTTCTAAGATCCAAAAATTGTAAATTGATTGAAAAATCTTCTAAGATAATTTCATCAACAATCTTTTGAAGATATTTTTTTTTCATATAACTACATTTACAACTAATTTATTTGTATATTGTTTAAAAATCGTGCGAGATTTCATAAATAATTTATATGTCTAAATTTTTGGCGCCAATTATGGACCCCCCCCCCTAAAATGGCTCAAATCAGAACTAGAATCTTTTTATTTTGAAAAAATTTTATGAATAATTGTTGGTATGAAATTCCTATATATATAACATATTTTAGCGCGTAAAGTTTTAGAGGCCTACCCATCTTATCCCACGACACCGGTGCGACCCCTATTTAAAACGCCAAACGGATCAATAAAAAATTTGAATCATTCGATTGAATCTAATGGAAAGCGGAAATCCGCGGAAATCAAAAAATTGTACCACCATCCCGAGCAGAAAAGGGTTAGACAAGAATCGTCTACTTCAAAAGTGATGTTACCTAAGTCCCCAGCCTCGATTTTAATGAACGCCAGTCCATCTATTCCTATTGACAGAAAATTATGTTCACCCAAAAGAAATGCATTCACCAAAACTGAAAAGCCCATAGAAACAACACCTTTGGATAAGGCAAAATGCGATGTCTCATCTAAACTAGCATCAATTAACAAGGCGGGAACCACAAACAAAACAATACAAAATCCTACAAGTAAAAAAAATATATATCTTGTTAAGGTGTAGTATTAAAATTATTATTGATTTAAAATGGTTAAATTAAGTAAACCAAAAATATTTTTAATATTAAAATCTTATCAACTTGTACCTCCAATATATTTTTTTTAAACCTATTACCTATATTTATTTCTTCTGGACCTATAACATTGTTGTTTGGGGGAGGGGGGTTACTACCAATCTGTCATGGATTGATGATTAAATAGCAATATAAACAGTTAATGAGGAAGAGTAATTGCTAATTAAATTAGTATAAAATAATAGCATAATCATCTTTTTCGGCCTTGAGTTCATCTATAATCTTATCCTAAGTCTGTTTTTGTTTGTAGCGGTGGATCATATTTCATCGATCGCTGGAGCAGGGCTATTAAAATTGAGCACGGAGTTATGAACCAGGCCCAAAGGGCACTCTTTGTGAATTGAGCCTAAATCCCAACCCATTTTATAACTACCTCTAGTGTTGTTAAACGGCTCGATTTTTTTAAAAACGGTTAACTCAATATATTAGCCAGAAACATATTGTCTAAGCCTCGAGATTCGCTAATAGATGTCCGAACCTGTAAAATTTTGAGTTAGCCATTTAACAAAGCATACTCCCTGTGAACCAGAACCGAGCCCAAAAATACCATTATTATGAATAGGAGAGTTGACAGCATATCCTTGTAGAACGGCAGTTAAAAATTAAATGCATTTGACAATATATACCCGAACTTGCCGAATTATTAAATAGGCATTAAACATTGCTTGCTTATCAGTGTTATCGAAGGCCTCGCTAAATTCTTTAAATAGAATGTTTAATGGAAGGTTTCTGTTTTTAGATGCTTCGATATTCTATGTGTCTCAAGATATCGATTTGGACTATTTCTAAGAGTTTACGATTTTTCAACTGCATGATAGTTTGCTGACGCCTCGATTTTCTCTCACTCTTGATGTTAGGGGTTTTCAACAAGATCTTTTTTAATTTTAAGAATCTTTTGAGATATTTTGTCGATGGTGTTAATTTTTGTATATATGGAATGCTATGGTAAGTTTTAACTTAGTTCTTTTGTAAATGTTAAAGAGATTTTTGGCAGAGACGACTTCTGTATATTTTTTAAAATATACCCAAACCCGGGCCTGAATTTTTTTTTTCCAGGCCATATATTTTTAAAACCAAATATGTCATTATTAGCTATAAAAATCAAAAATAAATATAATATATTTTAAAAAATCTGGGCCAGGCCTGAAATTTTTTTTTAAAAAAAAAGCCAGGTCGGGCCGTAAAAAATTTTTGAAAAAAAAATCCAAGCAGGGCCGTGCAAATTGTACCTTTGGAGGTTTCTGATTTTTGCGTTGGAGATTTTGTTTATAGGTTTCTTGTCCCAAAATGAATATAAATTATTATTTTCAAAATAAAAATAACGTAAGATGTCTCGTGCAACGAAATAAGCGACTCATTCGATGAAACAGGTGATTCTCTGATCGGGGCTGACAACGAAACAAGCGGGTTTTCTGACGATAAATCGGGCAATATTTTTCTTAACGAGGAATCGGACGATTCATCGGTCATTGATGAGGATGATAATTCTTTCGACGAAACGAGCGCCTCTTTTGACGAATTAGAAGACTCATTCTGCAAAGCGGGGGATTCTAGTCCTGCCCTTTCAACAGATGATAAGATTATTCCCGTTACTAAAGCTCTTAATTTTGATGCCATAGCTGACTTAAACCGTATTGCCAGAAAGCGTTGTCTCTTGACCGAATATCTAAACAAAAGAGATAGAAAATCGCGTTTAGCCTGGGAGGGCCAATAAATATTATTTATTTATAACTTTTTGAAAAGCAAAAATAATAACTTTATTTTCAGTATTAATTGACCATATTTTAAATGTTTTATATTTTTAATATGAATTATGGTAAGAAAACATTATAGATAATGCATAGTTAAAAAAACTTTCACTATGTTATTGATTTGATAGTCAATTTAAGTTTTTATTACAATAAATGACGTATAAGATCTGAATTTATGTTTGCTTAATTAGTGAATCACTTTGTAGAATAATATTATGAGATTTTAATTTAAGAATTAGTCACTAAAATATCTAATTAAAAGCCTTAATGCACTAGGAGGTGAAGGAATACATTTCCACACAAAACTATATAACAAAATACTAGGAAATAAGAGATTCCTCAAATGGAGACATGGTTTAATTCCTATCTTCAAAAATAAAGGGGACACACATAAAACTAGAAAAAAATTACAAAAAGCGATATTAAGATATATAATCGAAATAGGGAAGACTCAGTTTGATTTCATGCCTGGAAAATCAACGACTAACGCAATTCATTGGTGAAAAATACAGGGAAAGAAACAAAGGAATCCTTATGGTTTTTCCGATGTAGAGGAATCTTTTGATAGAATCATAAGAAAACTTAGCTGATGGCCGCTATGCTACAAAAAGGTAGCGGAAAATATATAAGAATAATTCAAGACATGTACATAAACCAAATTACAATGTTTAACGAGCACATCAACCGACTTCCAAATGACAGGGAGTTAATCAAGGGTCGACTCTCAACCCATTACTCTTCACAGTGATGGATGTCATATCAGACTATCTCGGAAACAACCCCTTAGTATATGACAGTTGAGGATGATATGGCGATACTTGCTGAAATAAAGAAAAGATTGACGAGTTGGATAGATACACTAGAAAATCATGGGCTAACAACAAGAAAAAAGCAGAGTATGGAAATGAAATAGACAACATCGACATAAATGAATGACAGGTATCGACAATTAAAAACTAAATATTTGGGCTACTAATGGTTAAATCGAAATAAAAAATAAAATAAACCAATGTTTTTTAAATTACTTTTATACTATAAATTGAAATTAAACACTAACATGCTATTGTGCACAGAAGCAGCAGGACCAGATATCAATGCTTAATGCAAGTAAAAAAATCTCACAACCAAATTAATTGCAACTAATAATATTTCTCCTCAGATTAAATGGCAACGACAAAAAGAGACTTCTGCACCCCACTAAGCCAATGATAATTTTGTTCCAAGCCCTCTCTCCCTTAACATTTTAGCCCCTACCAATTTAATTCAAATAAAGAAATATTGGACAAAACTCGACTGTACCTAGTACAAATTGAAAACAAATTTTACATGTAAACTCAATAAAAAGGCCGGAGGATGTAATATTTGATCAAGCATTAAATAGGAAAAGCGCTAACTTCCTAAACATAACTTTGCACAGAAACGTAGAATATTTGAAATCTTGCAGAATCATATTATGGTTTGCCAAATGTAAGTCTTTTTTCAAGGAAAGAATGGGTGTTTAGTAAGATATTAGAAAAAATAAATAAACTAAGAATGAAGAATGGCTCGAATAAGGAAATTACTACGGAGTGTTAGACGAGTATACATAGTAAAACAAGCTTTTGATATCCATAAAGAAATGAAATAAAATAGGATTATGATGCCTATGAAAAATTAAAATATTTCTGTAAACCTTGTAGTTTTAGAAAATCCCCTCTAAAGTTTTAGGAAACGGAAAAGTAATCATTGACCGTTATGACTTGATCATTATATGATGGTCTTCGACTCATGGAAAGCAATTCTACCAACAAACATATATACAAACCTCGTCCCACCCCGGTCAGGTTTTATCATATATCAAATATTATCAAAAAAGCTCCGGGGATGGATAATTTCACAGCTGTAAAATAGCACCTATGAAAATATCTTCTTTCCTACTAGCTCTCTTCAATAAAATATGGGAGAATGTAAATACTCCAGTGGAATGGAACAAATCCTTCCTATGTATTCTCTAAAATCAAAGATCTACAAAAATTTATTTATTACCGAGCCTTAGCCCTCACATCCTGTGTCTCAAAGATTTTTATGGTCCTCTTAAAAAATAAAATCATCTACACTTCATCTTTTCCCCAATACATATGCAAACAAAACCATACTAAAGGCCAATATCTGAAAAAATAATTATGCAAAAATGTTATAAATACAAAATATCCTTACTTCACATTCGTGGATTTTAATAGAGCTTTTGTTAATGATCATCAAGCTCTATGCGAAACGCTGTCAGAGTATGGCCTGTAGAGCGCGTTTTTAGTATAGCTAATGTTTTATAAATAAAATTATCTTTTTATTTGGTATATTATATTGCTGTTATAATTATATTTATCAAAATAAAACTATATTATTTTTTAACATGGCTAATATATTGTGTTAAAAATATAAGACATTTATTTAAATTTAATTTTAAAAAAAATTTATCATAAAATTTGAACGAACGTGAACGCGTTCCTTTTTTTGAAAGTGAACGTGGCTTCGAATTTTGTCAATGAACGTTGAACGCGAACCAGTTCGATTTTTTTAAAAATGCTTACAGCACTAAATATATATGATCGATTTTTTTTAATACAAAATGAATAAATTCTTTGTTTATATATTTTAAAAATAATGCAAAAAATTTAATACCACCTATAATCTATACAAATAAAAATATATATAAATACTGAATTTAAAAAAAAAAATCTTTCATTTCTTCGTTTTTTTTAACTTTATTTTTCCTTAAAAAGATTTCATTCACGCGCAATGATTCCTTTTCCATATTTTAATACATGTATCTGGAATCCAATCCGATATCGAAGCTATAATAACAATATTTATGCACGAATAAGTAAGTATCCACTTTAGAATCATTATAAATATTTTTATCAATATATTGTTGAAGCACATCAAATTCATTTAGTTGAAAGTGGCAGATTTTATTTTCGCCAAACGGCACATTTAGGTTCTTAACCAAATTTCAATTTAAATAGTGTACATATCGAAAAGAATTTTTAAAATCAAAATCATTTTATTCTCGTTTTGATACTATTCATTAAACGGAATTTCATGTTTTTCTGATAAGTTTTAATTTTTTTTAAAATTGTATATTTATAAATAAGGGTGAATTTTCTAAATCAAGCTATATCTGTATATATTCCCCTACATACAACGTCTGCAGGGAAATTTGGCTCTATTTTTTAAAGGGGGGTTTGTGAGTAGGCATCCATAGTTGGGCTGGGTAAATTAATGATAATTACAATTTGTAGATTAAAGATAACAATAACTAATATAAATTAATTTATTAATAAATATATATTTTCCATTCTATCACAGATAACATTTTGGTATAGTTGGAAGTTATACACGTTTATGGCTAATATTTAGAACACATAGTGATAACTAGTTTATTATCATCAAGCAATTCATTTTGCCCTATTTTATCTTAAAATTTAAGAGATAACCCCCCGATAAATTTATCCTACACCTAGCCTATCATCCTTAAATGCCTAACCCCTATCCCCCTTAAAATAATTAAAAGAAAACTGCTCCTGCACTCACCTCATGTAGACGCTCAAAGAGGGCAAAAAAGAAAGTTCAAATTAATAGATAATTCTTATTTTTGGGACAGCATAAGACGCATTTTTTAGCATTAAAGGACTTACACAAAAATATTGTAAAGGATAATCTTCCATTACATGGTTTGTTTGAATATATATTATATGCTGATGAAGTCTTTATAGGGGTAGCCAGAGAAGGGGAGGGTAAGATAAAATCCCCCCCCCCCTCTTCAGAAATTTATCACAGTTTGTGAATATCATTTTAAGCTAACAAAAATATCCCCCTTAGTCCTCCCTGACCCTCAAAAATGTATGCATATATCTTAAGCAATAATTTGAAAGAAAGAATTTAAAAGTTGATATTTTTTTTATAAAACTATTCATCATAATTTATACATTTTTGGAAAAAAGCATTTATATATATAAAGTGAAAATCCCCCCCCCCTTAGGAAAATCCTGGCTATGTCTATGCTTTATTTCTATATGTAAATAATGTTAGAAGAGAATTATCATACATAATTTTTTATTGCATGTTTTATTAAAACATTATAATATATTGATTTCAGTTCATGTAGGTCATAAAAATATTTTTTCTTAAGCTGTATTATAGCAAGCTTATACTGAGATATATACAAAAAGATTGTAAAATTAAATTTATATTCTACTTTGTGCACTTCTTGGCGATTCGCGCTAACTTTGATATCAGGCTTTATAATCGTTAATTTTTTTATATATAACTTTTGTTTTAAATTCGTTTTTATAATAAACTCAATGAACTAGTGTTGATAAAGGGCTCGATTAAGATTTTAGCCAAAATAGTATTATATAATGTAGGCCTCAAGATTTTTCACACCTATCAGCAAAATCTCCAGTACATAATATTATTTTATTCTTAATCGGGTTGACACTACAATAAATCAATGCAATAAAATAAATAAACAAAAAGTTATGAACTTATCAGCTGTTTTAGACTATTTGTTATCGCTAGATATATTAGTATTTCAGATCACAAGTTAATCAAAGCGAACCTCCTCATAAAGAATTTATGGGGAAACTCCCAACGCCTCCCCACATCTAATCAGCCCAGATTCTCCCCGGACAACTAATGCTACATCTAATCAGCCCAGATTTTCTCCCTGGACAACTAATGCTAAAAATTTACAACGACCTGAAGTAAAGCTGCTATTAGGTCAAAACTTAAGAGACAGGATGACAGCACGTGAAATTACATCGGAGTCTGTTTCTACGGAGGCGTGTTGGTCGTCCTTTAAGAGTATTCTTTTTGGAGCCTGTAATGATCTTCCTAACATCAATGGTTTTCCCCCGAGTCATGAATGGTTATCTGATGAGATATTTCTTTTGATAGCTGAACTTAGGTCGCTTGATAGACGCGATGGTGCCCTTTGGACGACAATCCATAGACTCCTTAGGAGGGACAGAAGGATCTACATAGCAAAGAAAGCTTTCGAGATTGACAGAGACATTAGAGAAAACAGAACTTTTGATGCCTATAAGAAGCTCAAGCTTTTCTGTAGTGCAAGAGTATTCAAGCCTCTCCCATCAATCAGACTGGACAATAATAAATTTATTACCGACCCGGACGAACAGATGGCTCTATGGTTGGCCCATTACATGGAAACCTTTGATTCAAGGCGACCAGTCGTATGTCCATCCTCTAGCCGTAGCGCAGTATCATCTGATGCTAACTTTTCTGTGGTGGAAATAACTAAGGCCATTAAAAAACTTAGGAACAACATATCTCCAGGTCCAGATAACATTTTAGGAGAACATCTGAAAGCTGCCCCCTCAGAGGTTTCTCAGCTCTTGCTGGGGTTGTTCAATAGGATTTGGGTTACGGGGAAGGTGCCAGCTGACTGGAATATGACAATTTTTTATAACTTCCCCAAAACCCCAAATCCTGTTAAATTTAAGGATTACAGAGCTATTGCTCTCAAATCCATCGTGTCTAAGGTTTTCATGATTCTTCTAAAAAACCGCATTCTTTCGACCATGCCTAATCTTCTGTCCAAATACATCTGTGCCTACCAAACAGGAATATTAATGAACCTATATTGGCATTAAAGATATTAATACAGAAGTGTGACAAATATAAATTACCATTCTACTTTATTTTCGTCGATTTTAAGAGAGCTTTTGACAGATTGGTTATACTCATTCAACGGCAAAGTCTATGGGAATTATAAAACTTTATGGTTTTATAGGGCAGTGAAGGATATCTTGGATTTAAACTTCAACACGAATCAGTTTTTAAGGTTGAATAAAGATAAGAAATTGTTGTAATATGTAAATTACTTTGAAATAAAATAGAGGAAAAAGAAGTAATATTCAAATCGAAGTAATATTCAAATCGATTGTTAAACAGAAAAACTTAACGAATTATTAGAATTTTTGAATAAAGACGATGTAAATGAATTGGAAAAGAAAGTATATATATTCGGAAATATTTTACTTAAAAAAAAAAGAAAGAAAGATCATGATTTTACGAACTTAATTTATAATTTTTTATTTTAATTTTTTATTATTTTAATTTTTTTTTAATTAGTTTAGTTTGATTATAATTTTAACTTATTATTTAATAAAGAGTTAGTATCATTTTAGTTCTACCTTTCTTTATTTGACAACGGTTCTAATCTCTCAATCCGTTCAAAAACTCGCAAAACGTTACAATGATGTTGGAGAGTGGAGGCGACAGGGCAATTTCAACAATTCAGTCTAATTAACTCTCCCACTAGCCTCAGCAATATAAATATCAATACCATATTGGTTCAGTGGTGTCTTGCAGCGATTGATCCAGGCTTTAGAAGATCAAAAGTCAGTCTAATTAACTCTGAAAAGAGATTCTAAATAAAGGGGGAAGGGGATGTATGAGATGACTTTCGACACTAAGACAAAGAATGAGAGCAATAAAACAATGGTATCAATATTAATGGTCGTATTTCGGAGAATTAGTCGTTTAGCTAAAATGAATGCTTCACAAGAGATCGTTATACGTACAAGTGATCGATGTAGCTAAAAGAATTTCGTTATAAATTTTTATTAAAGATATACGGTTGACTGTTATTTAAGTTGATAATATTTAGCAAAATATATCAGGTTGTTGATTAACCTAAAAATCTTCATAAAGAGAAACGGCTTTTCGTCATTAGAAAATTTATGCCGCAATCGAGCTCAATTAGAGATCGGATTTTTATTTTGGATCAAAAGATACAAGAAATCATTATCGTATAAGAGATCTTAAGGCAAAGTGGATATATTGACAAGAAGACCAGGATGCTATCGTTAATCGTTGACAAATTATAGCCAATTATCAAAACTTTAGTATAGGATACAAAATCGATGATCCTAAAAACAAGAATTCAGGAAAACAATCGTTAATCGTAGAGCATCGCAGATCGTTGACCGAGATAAAGCAATGATCATTAGTTACAAAAGAACGTTAGAAACGAGCAAAAGACCAAATTAATTTATCAGGAGAATTTAAGACGTAGTATCGATAATCGTTGACTAGCAATCTTGTATCGTTTAGTTAATCAAGTTGTCAGGGTTAAAAGGAAATGGATACATGCTCGAATATTGGTATTTCGCAGGATGTGGGGCCTAATCTAAGTGTAAGGGTGTTGTAATATGTAAATTACTTTGAAATAAAATAGAGGAAAAAGAAGTAATATTCAAATCGAAGTTAATATTCAAATCGATTGTTAAACAGAAAAACTTAACGAATTATTAGAATTTTTGAATAAAGACGATGTAAATGAATTGGAAAAGAAAGTATATATATTCGGAAATATTTTACTTAAAAAAAAAAAGAAAGAAAGATCATGATTTTACGAACTTAATTATAATTTTTAATTTTAATTTTTTATTATTTTAATATTTTTTTAATTAATTTAGTTTGATTATATTTTTATCATATTATTTAATAAAGATTTAGTATCATTTTAGTTCTAACGTTTATTATTGGACGAATATTATAGAAAAGTATATATAATCGAGAATATTAGTCTGATTTAGTATCATTTTAGTTCTAACGAGGATATTAGTCTGATTTAGTATCATTTTTTTCTAACCTTTCTTATTTGACAACGATTATAATCACCCAATCCTTCTAAATTCTTATTCTAAATATTCAAAATGTTACAGAAATCAATAAATAAACTGTTGAAGATCAATTCAAATTATTTGAATCTCTCATAAACTGCTCCCTGACACAGGTTATTTTTATTTTTGTATTATCTTCTTTATTTTATTTCTCCCTTTTCTCTCTCCTTATTCTGTATCAAACTTTTCCTTTCATCTATTATTCGCTATCATTTTTCTCATCTTAAAGTTAGGTCCCCCTTTGCCTTTAAAATCTATTATGTGTATAAGCATCTTATGGGTGTGGGCTGTGCTTATTTTGTCCTTTCCATATCAGCCCATAGACGTTTAAGTAATAGTCCTTGGACTATTACGCGTACAAGTACGTGCGGCTTGCCCACAAACGTGTGAAGGGCTCCTCATTTTTATCCCCTTTTTAATTTGTCCAGTCAGATGGATTATGAGGAAAACCTAACGTAGCTCTGTTGTATCCACAACTAGAAGGCGTAAACGTTCTATATCACGTATCACGTAAAATAAATTTTCCCACTCAAGATTTTTCTTTATTTGTTACATTATTTTATAATTTGAAAATTTCTAATTTTACAACCTGAAATAATTAATCAATTGCATATTTAATATAAATTTTTACAATAACTACATAATTCCAATACAAAATTTATAAAACGGTACATTTATCATCGGCTCTTTTTTATGGCAATTTCAGTATATTCGTTTGCAAATGCAAAGCATAATCATAACTATCGAGACATTGGACAATCATATCCTATAATTACCTGTCTTTTTTTATCCACCTTATATGTTTTGGGACTCTATTTATGGCCTAATAAATACTTGAGGTATAAAGTTCCTTATTTTATAAATTAAACATAATTAAAGAGATGACCCAGTAGTTATCAAATATAGATTTTTCAGCGTTTTGCTTACTTGTTTGATCTCACCTATTTTTATATGCTGGCACATATCAAATAAAGTATTTAATTTAAATTATTATGTCTAAAATATATAAATCTTGGTTTTAATTAGTCAGATATTCTCATACATTTGGGCATAAGAAAATCTGGATTGATTGCTGCAATATTTATTCCATTATTCACATTGTTTGTAATAATTTATATATATGTGCTACATGTTATATTTATGTATTTATATAGTTATTATTTTTAGGACCAATATATTTGTGGTTTTTAGAGAATAAAGGTATAAGTACAAAAATGATTTATAATAATAATTTTTACCAAACAAAGAAAAAGAATATCATAAATATTATAGCAAAATTTCAATCTATGGTCTTAGAAATTATATAATTGTAAAAGAGAATATGGAATTAATTTTAATTTCTTTCATACTTTAAGGCACCTTTAACAGAAGAATATATTTTTCGATCTTGTATTGTGAGTATTCTCTTGACCTATCACACTCATTCCAAAACTATTTTTATAGCCTCTTTCATTTTTGGTTTAGGTATTATATATATTATATTATTCTATTAATCCTATAACAATAGCACATTTTCATCATATATTTGAAAATATCAACAAAGGAATCTCATTAAATAGGGCACTTATTATATCTTGTAAAACCTACTTATATTTATATGGCTAATTTCTGATAAATGAATATTTATTTAAAATGTTAATGTATAATAATACCTCATATATGATTTTGTGATTATTATATCATCTACAGGTTTCCAATTTATTTACACAACAATATTTGGGGCATATTCAACATTTGTGTTTATTATTACAGGTTTGAATCAATTAATTTAATACTAAATTAAAATATTTATTATAAGATGTTGATTACAAGACATTATAATAAGTATAAGGTAAGAGATAAAGTAACAATTAAGAAATTGGAGGTAAAATATTTTTTAATTATTCAAATAACCATTTTCAATCATTTTATTAAAAGATCACCTGATGTCCTGCTTTGTCATACATGCCTTCTGCAACATTTTAGGGTTTCCTGATTTAAATAGAATATATTACTATCATGATCTTAAACAAAGAAAAATTCTGAAGTATCTTTTGGTTTTGGGATTCTTGGGATGGTTATTTGCTACCAAAACTTTACTAAAGCCACAATTTTTCCAAAATGAAAGAATTTATTGATCACATTTTATATATTATTTTCATATTGCAAATATAAATAAAAAGATAGAACACCTTAAAATTAACCCTTGTATATTAAATTTAAAAAAGTGCCAATGGTATATTTTAAAACTTATATGTGATTGTTTAGATCTCATATTATTGAAATATTTGATTTATTTTAATTTATAAATAAATACTATTTTGCTCATCAAATATGAATACTTTTATTTGAATCGATTTTCATTATTTATATCAAATGAGGAATAATATTTGAAAATTATTCAAATTTTTTATAGTAAATTTAGTATTAATAATTTATAAAAGTCAAATACAAATATTTAACCTATGATTTGAAGGGCATGACTAAAATACGCGCCCCCTATGAAAGAAGCTTAATTTAAATTATATTATTTGGAATCGTATTTAGCTTCGTAAGATAAGGCAGAAAATGTTTTTTTTATTTTTAAAAAAATGGTAACATAGTAAAATTTAAAAAAAATTAATTTTTTACATGACTAAACTACGCGCCCCCTATTAAAGAAGCTTAATTTATAAAAAATGAACGTAGAATCATATAGAGCTTATTAGAAGGTTTAAAAAAATGTTAATATTATATTTTAAAACTTTTTATAACCTAGTGGGCTTTTGAAACAAATTTTTTTTGAATAAACTACGCGCCCCCTATTAAAGAAGCTTATTTCATAAAAAATTAAAGCATAATCGTATTAAGCTCATTAAGAGGAATCAAAAAATGTTGATATTAAGTTTATAAATAATTTATAACTATTGAGATTTGGAAAAAACACTTAATTTCTTCCTTTTTTGACTAAACTACGCGCCCTCGTTAAATATACATTATTTAAAAATGAATACAGAATCTTGTATAACTTTTCAAGGAGATTCAGAAAATTATTTTTTTTAAATTATTTTTGACTAAACTTCGCGCCCCCGTTGAATATACATTATTTTTAAAAAATGAATACAGAATCATGTATAACTTTTCAAGGAGATTAAGAAAATGGTATTATTTATTTTTTTTTAAAAAATATTTATATTATCGAAAAAAAAAATTTTTTGACTAAACTACGCGGCCCCTATCAAAGAAGCTTATTTCATAAAAAAAATCAAAGCATAATCGTATTAAGCTCATTAAAAGGAATCAAAAAATGTGAATATTAAGTTTATAGATTGTTTATAACTTATTTAGATTTGGAAAATACACTTAATTTCTTCTTTTTTTGTCTAAACTACGCGCCCCCGTTGAATATACAATTATTTTTAAAAAATGAATACAGAAGTCTTGTATAACTTAAAAAAAATCATTTAATAATTTAATTAATTGGTTAGTATAAAATCATATTAAAGGAAACTATTAAGTTAATTTTATAAAATCAGTCCGTAAGGTTAATAGGAGGTCTATTTATTTGAACATTCTCATAATTTTTTAATGAGTGTTGTTTTGATAAAGTTGAAAAAAAAATTGTTATAAGATTTTACAAAAAACCCATTTTTTTTGAAAACTTATAAACATAAATAACGAGGGCTCGTATCAATTTATATCTTGATTGGGAAAAATCAATTTCATTGACTATATACTATTGATAATCTAAACTAAATCTGCATAAGTTATATTTACCAAAAAATTTCGATATTTCTAATTATTTTTTTTATTGTGTTAAAAAATAATGTATATTCAACAGGGGCGCGTAGTTTAGTCAAAAAAGAAGAAATTAACTGTTTTTTCCCAAATCTCAATAAGTTATAAATCATTCATAAACATAATATTAACATTTTTTGATTCCTTTTAATGAGCTTAATACGATTATGCTTTAATTTTTTATGAAATAAGCTTCTTTGATAGGGGGCGCGTAGTTTAGTCAAAAAAAAAAATTTTTGATAATATAAATATTTTTTTTTAAAAAAAATAAATAATACCATTTTCTGAATCTCCTTGATAAGTTATACATGATTCTGTATTCATTTTTTAAAAATAATGTATATTTAACGGGGGCGAGTAGTTTAGTCAAAAAGGAAGAAATTAAGTGTTTTTCCCAAATCTCAATGTTATAAATTATTTATAAATTTAATATTAACATTTTTTGATTCCTCTTAATGATACAATTATGCTTTAATTTTTTATGAAATAAGCTTCTTTGATAGGGGGCGCGTCAAAAAGAATAATTGTTTTTCAAAAGCCCACTAGGTTATAAAAAGTTTTAAAATATAATATTAACATTTTTTAAAACCTTCTAATAAGCTCTATATGATTCTACGTTCATTTTTTATAAGTTAAGCTTCTTTAATAGGGGCGCGTATTTTAGTCATGTAAAAAAAATAATTTTTTAAAAATTTTACTAAGTTACCATTTTTTTTAAAAAATAAAAAAAAACATTTTCTGCCTTATCTTATGAAGCTAAATACGATTCTAAAATAATATAATTTAAATCCCGCTTTTTTAAATATGCCACTTGAATCTGGTTTTATCGATATCCTTATAATATAATTTTAAAAAAATCGAGCTGGGCATGAAAATAAAAAACCTGGGCTGGGCCAAAAAAAGAGCTAGGCCATGCAAATGGTGATATTTATCTTCACATCAAATACAGATATGTAACTTATGATCCTGCAAGGCTGCCTCATGCTAGTGAAATTAATAAATGATGGTCTGCCTGCCTGCAGAGCATGGATCGATGTTTTTTTTAACATCATCTATTGTTGTTAAAAAGCCCGATTTTTAAAAACGACCCGATTAAGATTTTGGCCAAAATAATATCATGTAAACCTAGAGATTTTTAGGTTTAAGTATTGGGCGGTTTTAAAAATCGACCCAAATCAGCCTTCATTACAGGAGTATCCCTTTGTCATAGTAAATTTAATCACAAACTCCTCTAATAGCCGATCTTAGGTATTATTTTAAAATATTTAAATTAGTTGTTTTTTTAAAGAATTACTTACATTTCTCTTTGTTAATTTTATTTATGTATTATGAAAAATTTTGGACCCTCACTTTCGATCAATAATCATAGTAATTGTATATTTGAAAGTAAAAAAACATTACCCCAAAACAAATTATATGCCAAAAAACTGGGTATCCGCTCTATAATATGAACTATCTAGCAGATTGTGACACCGCTAAGCGGACTCCAGAATCAGATTTTTTTAAATATATTATCTACTAAAAATGAACTCACAAATTTGAGTTACAGTAAAAAGACGTTTTACTCTAAAAAGAATACTATTAGACAATTGATGAGTTAGATATCTAATTAGAACATTGCGTCCCAAACTTTAAATTTTAACTATAAGAATCCCGTGTTCTTTCGCTCTAAGCACACTTGACGAGCGTATATTTTTAATAGCTGGGTTTACTTTGAACTCTAGTATATATATTTATTATGCTCCTCATATCTTAATAAAATAATAGTTTATTATTAAAAAACGAATTTAAAACAAAGGTCATTAGCTATTATCAAAATATAGCTTATATATATAGAATTTAAATATTAAAAAAAATGATTAAGGGATCTTACTTGCATTGCTATATTGAACCATGAATGGCCATCGTAGTGTGACTTGTTTGAAATAGCAGGCTTCATTTATGATCGCCACTTATTTGAGTTAATTTTCTTCCTAATAATGTGATAATTTAAGGATTTCCTCACCAAAAAGGAAAAATTACGTTAACGATGTCTGACTATTTGTTTATATCTAAGATTTCTTTCTACCGAATATTGTTGAGGCATTAGTGCTCGATCGCGCCAAAATGAATGTATCTGATTATAATCATAAAGTAGTAAACTCGCTAAATTATGTTTAATTTTATTAAGAATACAAGTTTAAAATTTACATAGATTTTTTTCAGCACTCTTAATTCCAGATTTCCACGCTTTTCTGTCTTTGGTCATCTCCTTCATTAGGTTTATGTTTTATAATTATTCGATCGAGAGTGAAATTTTTCCATTTTTTAATTGAGCATCGTCTTTAATGTTTATTTTAAAATTATAGTTTCGCAGTTCCATTATATCTTATCTTTCTCTTTTCTTTAACCAGGATATAACTACTCACTAACAAACTCAAATCCCTCAAATATTACTATTTTTATACCCAATCTGTCCAAATTGTAATGCAACATGTTAGACAGTGAGATATAGATATATATATTTTATTCGCTTCCAATAATATACTTTTATTCCGCTTCTACTGATCATTTGGGTTAATTATAATATCAATTACGTATCTAATTTTTCTGATTTTTTTTTTCAAATACATTTGTTTTCGATAACAATTTCAAAATAATGAGTAAACTATCTAAAATAAAATATATAAGGGATTAATATATCGAAAATGACGCACTTCAATCATAGCTCCCGAAGTATTAAATGTAAAGTACTACACTTTTATTATTTTGTAAGTGATGGATTGGGTTATATATTTTTAATTTTTATCGTATATAACAATATCCTTTCACCCTTATTAAATATTACGATTTGAAAAATGAATCTATTGTTAGAATTGTTTCAACATGTAGCCAAAATATAATTTACCGTAATTCAGCATGCGATGAGTAAATTTTTCATCCGTCGGCCAGCATTCAGCAGAAAGAACAACGCCCCTGCCATATATATATCAAATTTTTTATTCAATCTGTATCTAAATACAATTGAATTCAATAAATATCTAATATTTTCTTTTTCGTATCCGATATCACCTTCATATTTTATAATAATTCAAAGAAAAAATATTGCAAACTCCATATCTAATTATTTGCATAAAATACATATTTATAACTTTGGTTTCGTGCGTGAGTCGACTCATAAGTTGGAGGCAATTTTTTGACTAAAAACTCGATTCGAATCGTTGCTATGTTGGTTTAGGAAGTACAACTATGTCTAAATCTGCTCTTTTTTACTTCGAATTTTTGCTTCCATCTATTTTTTAGATTAAAGTTAAAGATAAATAAGTATTTAAAAAACTACTTTGAGCGTAGGAATGCAGGATAAATTTTTTGATACTTATTTCTGCTAAGCCTAGTCTAAACAGCTTTTGAACTACAGCACCCTATTTTGGATTTGTTTTAAGTGTTTGGTAGCATTGTTATTTTTTC